CACTTCCCTTTAGCATGTTAAACTATGATGTGTCAGAGAGGATATACCCAAATTGACGAAATCTAAAACTTTGTATGTTTAAATATTGGCCAGTTAATTGATTAAATATAATCACGAAATCCCTTTACATGTATCAGAAACGTATTTCTTACAGAAGTTAATGTAGTGTTTTTATGTTTAAAAACACATTTGTTATATTATTCCAAATAATGCATTTTTTTCATTTAGAAATGCTGCTAATTTACAAGTCAAAGCCAACGCATGTAAGCTTGGAACATGTATGACTATGGCACCATCTGGTGATAGTATCAAGAAGGCAAGAACTCAACAAAAAGGCTCCTGATTTACAAAAATATCAGAATAATGTTAAAAAGATACTCTGATCCCATAACCAGGCACGTGCACACATAGACATCAAAGTGGGCTTGAGCCCCTGCCCTTTTTCTTCCTCCAGAGAAAGTGCCCTTTTTCCCCCTTTTTTTTATTTTTATAAATTAATATTTATCTACTGCTGTTTGCGAACAGTTTCCCTTTCCAAAAATATATTGATTGAATACAAAATTAAAATATGAGGTCGGGAGATTAGACTGTGAAGCTCCGATGCTCTCTCTACCCTCCCTCCCTCCACGTCTCCTGCACAGCGGTGCGGACATCGGCAGTCACTTCAGACAGACAGGTAGCAGCACCTCCCACTTTACTGTCCCATGTTATGCCGGCTTTTCTTGGCTTGTCTGAAGGTGAGTGGTGATGAACAAATTACTAAACTGCCAGTGCCTCGAGTTTACAGCTAATTAGCTAAAAGACAATAACAAATATAGTTAACTAAGGTAGGCTACTAGCTAATGGATAAGTTAGCTCAAGGTTTAGCTAAGGCAATTTATCATGGGCAATGGGCATACAGGCTAAGCAGTAGCGTGGCGTGGGGAAAAAATTAGGGGAAGCCAATAATACGTCCTTTTTTTGGGGTGGGGGGGGGTGGTCAATGTAACGCTGTAACCAGATGAGTGATTACAGCGCCCAGTATCATTTTACACACATTTGTATCATACAGATGCAGGACTTACACACGCCTGCTTTCTAACTGACAGGTCCGCACGCACTCTCCAGCCGAAACTCTAATAAGCATTCATTCACAAACTAAATCAGGAGACCTTTAAAGTTTTACGTCCGATTCGCTCCTTTTTTCCTCCAGTTTGGGCATTGGCCTGTCATCAGATTTTAGTTGCTGCTGTAGCGGAAGTTTAGTACAATTATTTTTGATTAAATACTCCAAATCTCCACCCTCCATAATTGCACTTGCTTCAGTTGCTTGCTACTTTCTAACGGTGGTGAGAGTGGTGCAGTGACGCTATCTATCTATCGATTAGATTTATGATTCGAAAATTATAAAAGTAGAGTAGACATGTGGATATTATCCGGCTGAACAAAATGTGCATTTATCAAACAGCTTCATTTTCCACAGACCTTATCTCCAGCTCTTTTCCAAAATCCTATGGAGAAATCCCATTGCTTTTTTGTCGAGGGAATGCGAGCGCAGCTTACTTCCGGGTTTTAGGACGCGTCACTGCACCACTAAGTTGATGCGATTTGATTGGATTGTGAGGCAAGGGAAGCCAGCCGCCTCTGGCTTCCCTCCAAGGGAAGCCAATTTCGGCTGGCCTCCTCTCGCAACAGTGAGTGCAATCTACTGTTTTACCATAACATCTCGAGGGGCGCTGTTTCACTCTTTGTAAAATACTCAATGAGAATGGGGGAGAAATGGGCCGGCAGCAACACACAGCAAAGAAGAATTTCCGAAACTAAACGAAGTGTTTTTATTTATTTATTAAAATTATAACTACAATCCGAAAAAAACAGGGGAAGCCTGGCTTCCCTTGGCCTCCAGGAGAAAACGCCACTGAGGCTAAGTACTGTACTTAAGGGGAGACACTTAGGCTGCTTTTACACGGGAACGTTTGCGTTTATGCACAGTATGCGCTTTCAAAAAAGTCTTCCGTTCACATACATTCGTTTAATTTAACGTGTCTGTTCAAACGAGACCGCTGGAAACGCTGAAGTACATATGCCGGGACTGTAAGTGGCGCTGTAACTTCCGCCAAAATACACCAAAAGCAGCGAAGAAGACCCCGGAGCAGCCCCGCAGCAATGTTGCCATGGCTACCCTTCTGTTTATGCCCCACGGTGGATTTAGCAACTTGTAGTAGTTAATGTAATTCTCCATGTCCACTTGTTGCTGATGGTTGTGGTAGAGGAGCTGTAGATTTTGCACTAACATCTGTAGCATGGTCGAGCTGTAGATGTTGTACTAACATCTGTAGCATGGTCAGTAGCAGTAGCACTAGCAGTAGCTACTGACAGTATAGCTATTGGCCATGCTACAGCAGTGAGCAGCAGAGGCGGGGAGAGGTGGGGCTATCGTTATTTTTTCAGGAAATATTCGTATAGAGGCGATTACACAGACTCGTTTGACCCCCCAGAGAGTTTCGTTTGCAAATCTATCCACCTTGGGACCCGTTATCGTTTGTGGGGTCAGACGTAAGAGAAACTATGCAGATACAAGCCGTTTCGTTCTCGTGTAAATGTGGCCTTAAAGTGAATACAGTAAAATGTGTATCTAATAACGTCATCACAATCGCCACATTGATATGCAAATTAGGCGTTAACTAGGCTTAATTAAAATGCGCTAATTTGCATGCAGTTACCAAGGCATTGCAGGTGAAAAGGATAAAACAAAAAAACATATCACCTCACAAATTCCCCAGATAGTTACTTACGTCAACTTCGTCAAGTCAGTATTTTCCCCTGAAATGTTATGTTTAAATGCAGATTAGCTTTAAATCTGAATTCAGACATGGTAGTAAAACGAACACCATTTATATGTGTTTCTTGGAAGTTTTATTTCCATTAGAGTGAAAGAAAACATGGAAGCAAAATAGACCAAAATAACAAGTACATGAAAAAATGATACTTTTGCCTGTAATGTCCTTAAACAGTAACTTCATAATTTTGATTGTTGGCTGCTCATTTAATAACTATTAATTGTACTAGTTTGTTGTCTGCTCTTGTGCTTAGTGAATACTAAAGAAGACCATTGTCTCTGTGTTAGCTGATTATTTTGTAGAATTCTGTTGAGTATTAAACAATTGCGTGAGTGTGAGGGTATTCAAATAAATTGGTCTGTAAGTCAGAGATGTGCAACTATATTTAACTTTTTGTTATAAAACACTTTTTTATAAATGATTATGGGAAGTGCCCTTTTTCTCACTTGAAAAACCCGCCCCCCAAAATGTCTGTGCACGTCCCTGCCCATAACAGTTCTATATGTAGTGACTTAAACATTTTACAAAACAATACTGACTCTAGCTTATACGGCAGAATTATTTTCGAGCAAGGAATTTAGAGAATGCAATTCCTGAAGAAATTGCTAGTGGGAATGCTTTATGCTTTATGCTGACGCTGAACTGCTATGCTGAAATGTAATGTGTAAGAAGAAAGTGAAGAATTTAGATTGAAATGATACATGAACACTGGGGGCATCTTAGTGCTTTCTCATATATATATATGAGAAAGCAATAAGATGACAATTCTGTTTTTTTTTTTATGGAACAAGCCCTCAGGATACTTCATTATGTTTTATTATCAGCAAAACAAATAGAGCATTTAAACTCTACCTGGATCATTGTGTTTTTTTGGATTGTTGAGTATATTACAAAGTTGTGGAGTGCAAAATATGCAATCGTGTTAGGCCCCACACTATAAAAATCATTGCAAGACAATAATAAACAAAATTATACAATCAGATAATTAATAGGAACTAATTGTTATTTTAAAACAAATCAATATTTATTTCTATTAACATGCCAAAATGTTTCAGATATTAATAAATGTTAAAGCATCAATATTTCATTATTACCCTATTATTTGTGGGTTGGGGTCAACATCTTCTGAACAGGACACTGAGTTTGTAACAAAATAATAATGGTCAATTTAAACACACTTTAACTGTATCAAACTGAAGAAACTGTCTGGAACACTGGTCAGAGGTTGACTCTCGGGGCAACAAGTACGGTCACTTGGTTTTCCATGTGGTTTGAAATATTTCTATCTTTTTTGCAGAGCTTGAATTTTTCTGGTAACTAATGGCGCGTTTCCACTACAGCCCGCAGCCCGGTTTAAGAGGGCTGTGACGTCAGCGGCCCGTCTTTGGTTGCGTTTCCACTTGGCCTAGTACCGGCCGGCGGGTCCTAATTCACAGTTTTTCTGGCCTCATAAAATCGTGGGTCCAGGGCCAGAGACAACGAGGCTGAGTCGGGCTGAGTATGCTAAACTAGAGAGAGCGTCGCTGGCAAGGGGGCAACAACTACAACAAGATGGACATATTTGACCGTGATTTAATTGTAATACACGTTTCAAAATGATGCCGAAGTAACAACATACTGATACCGGTTAGTAAAAACCATGAATTAATGCTTTGTCAAGTCTGCAGACAGACGGCAGGGGAAAAACCTTTTAAAATGCTTGTTTTCTAAATGGAGATTGGCTAAGCTAACGCAGTATATGCTCCGACCGTCCACACTCACAACAACGGCCTATACAGACATAAATAAAGCAGCGACTGTATTCACCATGACACAGGCAGTCTGTGGTTTGTACTTGTTTAACTTTTGTCTAGTTTCTGAACATATATGAGGAGCTGTGAGCTCTGAGTGCTAACAGCTAACGGCTGTGTTGTTTTTCTGGGGTCCTCTGAAGATCACGTCACGGCTCCGCCTACACTGCGTTACTATAGATACTGCCCCAGTTCCTAAACTGTAATGGAAATGCGCCATAAAGTGAGCCAGTCCTAACGAGGCCCAGCCATACCGAGCGGGGCCGAGCGAGGCCGTGTAGTGGAAATGCGCCATTAGTGCCTGTGTAAGAGTATATTTTTAACCTTAAAAAAGGGAAGTGAAAGTGCTTTCTCGGTATTTGTCGAGGGGCAAAAAAAGGGAACAACTAAAAAATGCAATCTTAGGTACATTTGTACACTTTTAACTCTCAGAATATTGTATTTTGTTCTACCACCAAGGATGATCTCAACATCTTTCTAAAAGCGTTAGGGTCTCATGGCTGTCTCAGGAATAATGGGGTCAATTTAGGTGGGGGCATTATTCCGGTCACTTGGGAGGAGGCATTGTGAGGAAATGCAAATGATCAAGTTCTTAAAGACTGGCTGAAAGAGGAAGGGTACTCTACAGTCCCGCTCTCACTTGGCAAATCTGTTTTTCTCTCCGTTCATGATGAAGCTTTTTGGAGCTCTGATCCTGTTTATTACTCTGTCTGCAGGTAAGAACAGCTTTTGATTTAGACTCATGTGCACTGACTGAACATTCAAACATGAAGAAAGGTAATGTGTTGATGTTAAAGTGTATTATAAGAGCTGAAAAGTGGTTTCAAAAAGTAACAAGTTAGATATTTTTGGAAACATGCATATTCACTTTGAAAAGATTGATCCCACTGTTGTAGTGATTTTGAAAAAGGATTACTGTTTCACATATATTGTATATTTAACAATTGGAACTAAAAATAACTATGGGCCATTTTATTTTACTTTATTTAAACTTCCTTTGACCTTCCCTTTTTCTTTCACCAGGCAATGCAAATACAATAGAGCCACCTTTGCACACTTGCAAACAAAACCAAATCAGACACTCCTTACACTTTACCCTGATAAGCCGGCTATTTTATCTTTTGTGGTTATGTATGACCTGTGGACATGGGGGCTCATTGCTCTTTGAACTCAATTGAGTGGCAATTTCTGCTGGCATGTGACTTTTTTGCACAATATGTTGTTTGTTTGATCATAGTTTTACAAAGTACTTTAAAATACTTTAATTAACCTAACTACATTTCTCCCTAGGGTAGCTTTGCTGTAGTTTAACTTGTTCCAGGTTGTTGAATTGGTACAGTAGCTTCCCCAACCCTGCATCTTTGGCATGTTTTCACCTGATGTGTTTTTTGTGTATATGTACAGCCTGTGGATTAAGATGCTACACATGCACCGCCACCGACCCTAAATCCTGCATTGACACCAAATCTTGTCCAGTCATCTTCAACCGGTGTTTCTCTCTCAGAATAGACGGTTAGTTGTTCATTCACCTAATACATTTCTAAAGCTACAGTTGCAATCAAAATGATTCAACCCCCTTTGCACATTAAGTTTATTAATGATCCTAAGCATACCTCAAAGTCAACCAAGGCCTGGTTTCTGAAGAAGAAATGGAAGATTCTAGAGTGGCTGTCACAGTCGCCTGACTCTATGAACCCCATTGAGAATCTCTGGTGGGAGGTCATTGCCCGTGAGGAATGGGCTAAGATTCCTCAGGAACGCTGTCAGAAGCTGGTGTCTGGCTATGCATCACGTTTGCAGCAGGTCATAACAGCAAAAGGGTGCTCCACTAAGTACTGAAGATGCTTGTCATGAAGGGGTTGCATATTGAATTTGGATTAGTCTTTCAAATTAGCATTTTGTGTTGAATTTGGGTAAAAAGCCTTATAATATTAGTTTCATTGAATCTACTTAAACAGTTATTGTGTAATTTGTTCATTGCAAACAGCTGAGAAATTGTAAATTTTGCAAATAAACAATAAATAATGTGCAATGGAGATTGAATAATTTGGATTGCAACTGTAATATTCCACTCACAAAAAACAACAATCATACAATAGTCTTGTTTTGTGAACTGGTTTCATATATTTCTTTTTGCAGGTTATACCATGGTAACCAAGGGTTGCCAAAACAGCATAGCATGTGGCGGTGCCATGGCTTGCTGTGAAGGGAACTTGTGTAACAGTGCCCTGCCCACTGCTCCCTGCGTCATCCTCCTGCTGGTCTCTTTGGCCTCCATCTTTTTCTGAGGTTCTGGGACTTCGTTATTTCTACGCTTTTCCTGATCCAACTGAAGAAGAATAAGCAATTATTATATTTACATGCTCTTCCAAACCTCTATTTCTAACACAATAAGATTGTCTTTGAATGTTTAAATCAAACTAATGATGTTGTCCCTCTGCCGGATATTAAATTGGCCATATACTGTTTGAAGACGGTTGGTTTCAAAACTGTTGTAATGATATGTTCAGAAGATGGTTTCTTGGTGTGTTTTTTGTTGATAATCAAATCCAATAGTTAGTTACCATGAAGTCTCCTTATATATATTGCGTGAGACAAATAGATCACATTTCATGAAGAACAGAGAAAAAAGTCTCTACCTGATCGGTCTCAACGCTGTGTGTGTCCGTCAGGAAACACGCTGTTTACAAGTAGTTCCAGCAAACATCCACTGATAAATTGCGATGTTAACAACCTCATGATAACCTGATCTTTTTTTAACTTAGGATCATACCTGTGTTTAGTCTAGAAAAAGGTAAATGTGTGCATTTTATTATAAAGTTGTGTATATTTACAGACTGTTGCAAAAACTAAGAAGCTTATAAACATCAGGTTTGAAACTAAAAGAGCTTTACAAAAAAGTAACACAATTAAAGATGTTTGGAGTTTTATTTTAGTTATTCATTTTAATTGTTTGTCTAAGAGATGCTGATTTGAAACCGTTGTTACAACTTTACAGCATTTCCTGTTTCTGCCGGAGAGAGGGGAGTTTGTCCCAAAGCTTGCCGCTGTATTTACTCCCTCCATCTGACAAGAGGGAGCCACATTAGCCGCTTTCACACCAAGTACTTTGCCGTACTTAGTTCCCAGCACTTATGGCGCATTTCCATTGCAGGGCCTCGCTCAACTTAGTACGGTATAGTTAGGCCTTCTTAGGCCTTGTTAGGCCAGGCTCACTTTATGCTGCATTCCCATTACAGTTTAGTAGCTGGGGCAGTAACTATAGTAACGCCGTGTAGGCGGAGCCGTGACGTCATCTTCAATGCGAACCACAGAAAAACAACATCAGCCGTTAGCTGTTAGCACTCAAGCTCACAGCTCCTCATATCTGTTCAGAAACTAGACAAAAGTTAAACAAGTACAAACCACAGACTGCCTGTGTCATGGCGAATACAGTCGCTGGTTTATTTATGTCTGTATAGGCCGTTGTTGTGAGTGTGGACGGTCGGAGCATAGACTGCGTTAGCTTAGCCGATCTCCATTTAGAAAACACGCATTTTAAAAGGTTTTTCGCCTGCCGTCTGTCTGCAGACTTCTCAAAGCATTAATTCATGGTTTTTACTAACCGGTATCAGTATGTTGTTACTTCGGCATCATTTTGAAACGTGTATTACAATTAAATCACGGTCAAATCTGTTCATTTTGTTGTAGTTGTAGCCCCCTTGCCAGCGATTCTCTCTCTCTAGTTTAGCATACTCAGCCTGGTTGTTGGCCCGCTAAAAACCTCGATTTTATGGGGCCAGAAAAACTGTGAAATAGTGCCCGCTAGCCGGTACTACGCCTAGTGGAAACGCAACCAAAAACGGGCCGTGCACGGCACGGAACGCTTAAACCGCGCTCCGCGCTGTAGTGGAAATGCGCCGTAAGAGCCGATAGCGTTCACATCGGAATAAGTTCCCTGAGGGAAGATTAGTCAAATGAAGCCGCTGACGTCACTCCTTCTTCTTCTGCTTTGGGTTTACTGGCAGGCAAACAACTTCACGGCGTATACTGCCACCCGAAGTCCCCGGCCGGAAGTCCCCGGAGTTGGGGACTGACTTCAGTAGAAGCTGCTGGGACTCCCAGCAGCTAATACTGAAGCCTTCCGAGTAAATCGCCAGAACCTCCTCATCACTCCACCGCTCCCATGTTTTTTTTTGTGTTGCCATAAGTTATTCTCTCTCCGTTGGTGCGCGGGGCTAATGCTAATGCTAATAATGCTAATGCCAGCAAATACAATGGCGGCTTCAAAAAACGTTTCAGAGTTTTACGGGGCGTGGTTTGCAATTCGCCCAGCCAATCAGAAATTGGTATTTTTTTCTCCCCAGGATAGTCCCACCTCTCTAGCAGGCACTAAAAATGGGGGTAAAAGTTATCTTTTTGGTGTGAACGCAAAATTCCAGGCACTAACGGAACTAAACGTGAAAAGTACGGGTAAAAGTACTCGAGTGTGAAAGCGCCTATTGAGCTGCGAGTTTCACTACACGGAGTTCACTCTGTCACGGAGGGGGAGTGTGTAGGGGTAGGGTGTAGGGCGTGGTTTGGGATTGGGCCGACGTGTTCATAGACCACAAAAGGAAGCTTGAGCACCTCACCTGGACATTCTGTTTTGCTGTCAAATATTTGACATGTGTGGCTTTCCCAGCTCACACACGAGACAACACACCCTTGTTTGCATGATTGCAATGTTGCATTCATTTGGACTCATTTGGTCATTCATATGAATGCAATTGAAACATTCCAAAAGCTTATCAAATAAAGTGAATGTGGACGAATGTCATAACATCCGATAGGCATTGGTGTCTGGCAGTGGCGGCGCCAGAGCATTTTTGTTGGGTAATCTATGGTAGGGCTAACCCATACAGTGGTGGTGCTCAAGTCAGTATTTGCAATGTAATTACATACACGCTATATCGCCCCCCTTGACAGTGAAACGCCACGCGTGAGGTTTAGATTATTTCCCTGTCTCAATCCAAATGGAACTGTATGAAATAAAACGGCACATTTGTCTTGTAGTAAATAAAAAGGGATCACTGTGAACGTGACGTATGATAGTACACGTTGAAGATCCAATGGGGATACTGAATGGCGGTTTCGATTGATCTCAATCAATAAGGCATGACGCAGATCCAACGTTGCGTTGCTCTGATTGGCTGTAGGTCTATTCAAATTGCATTCGGAGGCATTTTGATCTGACCGCGGCCGCGCTGATATTATAACGCCAGAGAATTTCCACACCTTTAGTGTATAAAACTCCCCCACTACTTAGACTATTCCTTGCACCCCTCTTATAGCATAAACCCGAATGGTCTCAACCATATTGCATCAGTAACGTGCACTTGTTGTTACAGCAGGATCAGTTTGTGTGCTGTGGACACGACCCGTATATTTTCGCAATCCGTGTTCTCAACATTTAGCATTTCGCTTATTATTTAATTGAATTTGCATCACTTTTCATGGTGGGGCTATGGTGGGGCTAAGCCATTTCATGGTATGGCTGTAGCCTACCCCAGCCATACCCTGGCGCCGCCACTGGTGTCTGGATATGTGACATGCAAGTTATTGAACAAAACTATATAATCTTTCAATAAAATATCAGTTATCAAAAAAGGTGTGCCACATAAGGCACTCTCATTATGTGCATAGTATAACAGAAACAAACGTAAACAAACAGAAACCGGTTTGGTGCACAGCTGTCTCTGGGGTAATGTGATCACTTTGGGAGGAGGCCAGTGAGGGAAATAAGTTTTCCTGTTTTTAGGACTATAAATTGGAAGAGCATTGACGGGGTTGTCATTTTCCCTCCAGTTTTTCTCCTACACGGGTTATTTAAGGTGTGATTTCCTCTCTGTTCAAGATGCATTTTTATGGAGCTCTGATCCTCTTCATGACACTGTCTGCAGGTAAAAACAACTGATATATTGGCTTCATGTTGAAAGAATTTTTTTCTAAGTTATCATGATGGTGACCTGGAATTATGTCGCAGTAGTTTGATTTGGCACATTCTTTTATAATGAATTTGAAGGCATATATTTGTATCGGATTTAAAATTGCTTTCTTCAAAATATTTAGTTGTGCATCCATACTTTGATTTAATAGACCTATTTTCAGAAACTGCAACTAAGCAAAAGTATTGGAGGCAAAATACATTTTTATGGTGATAAAAAGAGCATTACATTATGTGTTTCCTGAACAATGTTTGGCACTTTTCTCAATTTCTGTATAGCCTATGGGTTGAAATGCCACACATGTGTTGCAAGCATTGGCTGCTCAGCGGTGATGACTTGTCCTTCCGGATTGAACCGTTGTTCCAGCGTCGAGTTCTTGGGTGAGTTAGCACTTCAAATAGATCATCAGTGCTATATTTCTCTTCAAATGCTTGGTGGCTTGTTTAAACTGAGTTTCTTTATATCGCACCTTGCAGGTTTGAAAACCAAGAGTTGCATGACCAGCGAGTTATGTGTTGAACCCTTTAAGTGCTGTTTCTACGACCTGTGTAACAGCGCCATGCCCGCCGGCAGCAGTCCGCTCCTCCTGCTGCTCTCCTCGGCCATCATCACCGTCTTTCTCTGAGGCTCCGGAGCAGCTACAGCTTAACAAAATGTGTCTTCTTTTTTTGGAACCCTAGAAGAATAAATACATTTCCGGACGTATAAAAGCTGTAAATGAATAATAATTATAATAATAATAATAATAGATGACATTTGTATAGCGCCTAATGCATCTCAACATTTGTTCAATAAAAGACAACATTATGAATGATTATGTAATTGTTTAATTGATTTGTTCTGCATTTCACATTACTATGTACAGCAACGGCAGTTTTGTCATGAAGCCATAATAAGAAACATGGGTGACAAAACAGGACATAAAACATTAACAATATTGAGGAAATGAATAAATTAAATTGCTCAGGATTAATGAGCAGATCAGCGGACTAAAATGTTTGGACTGTGAGTTACTTTTGATCAACAGGTCAACACAAGCATTAATAAAAAGACAGAAAACATTTGCTGAACTTCTCTATAAGGTATTCATCTATACTAACAGAACTACGCCTATATTGCGTACAGCGCCCTTTTTTTTGTTGAAATAATGGTTTTTAGTGTGCAATTATAGGTTTTAATTTTGTATTTGTGTTAATTTAAAATAAATCAAACTCCCAAAAAACGTATACAGCTTCTGTGTGCTTTTATTAACATTGGCATTTACTGTGTAAGGGGCCGCGGGGGGGGGGAGGGGGGGGAGAGAGAGCTCTCTCCTGAAAGACTGAGAGGCTCTGATAACCTCAGCTCAGTGAGGTACAGACATATCTTTATATGATCATTATAGTTATAAAGAAATAAGAGAATATATGAAAAACAGGTATAAAATGCTATATAACAGTACAACAAAGTTGTTATTAATAAACAAGAATACAGTTTGAAAGGGGAGTGATTTGTAAAATATCCATAAAGAAAAAGAAAATCTGCTTACTGTTCTGTTTCATATGGGTGTTGAGAGATGTATCCATATATCTCCTAATTTTGCTCTCAAAGTGCACCAGATTGATGCTTTTAACTTCAATATTTTAAATCTATCCATCTATCTATCTATCTATCTATCTATCCATCTATCTATCCATCTATCTATCCATCTATCCATCTATGTATCTCTCTATCTATCCATCTATCTATATATCTATCCATCTATCTATCTATCTATCTATCTATCTATCTATCTATCTATCTATCTATATATCCATCTATCTATCCATCTATCTATCTATCTATCTATCCATCTATCTATCTATCTATCCATCTATCTATCCATCTATCTATCTATCCATCTATCTATCCATCTATCTATCTATCTATCCATCTATCTATCTATCTATCCATCTATCTATCTATCTATCTATCTATATATCCATCTATCTATCCATCTATCTATCTATCTATCTATCCATCTATCTATCTATCTATCCATCTATCTATCCATCTATCTATCTATCTATCTATCCATCTATCTATCTATCTATCCATCTATCTATCCATCTATCTATCTATCTATCTATCCATCTATCTATCCATCTATCTATCTATCCATCTATCTATCTATCTATCTATCTATCTATCCATCTATCTATCCATCTATCTATCTATCCATCTATCTATCTATCTATATATCTATCTATCTATCTATAACAATAGTCTTCATTTACAATATAGACAATAGGCATAATTTTCAAACAACATACATCTATTGCAGTTATGATGTCATAATAACATACAATTGTATAAAACACAATTTGCTTACATCTTTGTTCTCTTTTGAGAATCAAACAAAACAGATTTAAATAAAAAAAGTAATGCAAACAAACAAGTGAAATGAACTAAATTGCTGAATTGCTTTTAATTCACTGGCAGGAGTGACAAGTGAGAAGGAGCAAAAAGTGAACAACGAGGGAGAGATTGAACAAAGAGAAAGAGTAGAGGACAGAGAGAGTAATGAACAGGAAGAAGACAGAGAGACTAAAGAAGATGGAAGAGAGGGTGCAGGTTATGGAAAGGAGAGAGACATGGAAATTGAATGTTGACAATGTTGTGTGATCATTTTAGCCTCTTCTGCATGTCCAGATCATTAATAGTAACAATCAACTGATTCTTATGTATTACACTTTCAAAAATAATTTATGCAGCCCACTGACATGGTTTGAAATCAATGTATTATCCAATTTGTGACCCCCCACAGGACTTAAAAAGCACCTAACTAGATCATGAAAATCCCCCAAATCTATACCCCCGAACCCCCCTAGCATGTTTGGACCTCGGTATTTAGGAAATCCTGGATACGGCCCTGCTCATAGGTGAAGAAAGTGAAGACAATCTACAGATAATACAAAAGGCGGTTTATGAGAAATGTTTTTAGTGAGTATAATCTGATACAAACTTAAGTTAGGTCAGTTTGTTTGCAGGATCTTAAAAAATGCATTATTGAAAAAGATGTAAAATTGAGCATGTTGTTCTTTGAAATATTCTAACTTTAGTTTTGGTAATGTTCAAATGTTTTTGTTTAAATATTGGCCAGTTAATTTATTAAATATAATGACGAAATCCCTTTAAATGTATCAGAAACGTATTTCTTACAGAAGTTAATGTAGTGTTTTTATGTTTAAAAACACATTTGTTATATTATTCCATATAATGCATTTTTTTCATTTAGAAATGTTGCTAATTTACAAGTCAAAGCCAACGCATGTAAACTTGGAACATGTATCACTATGGCACCATCTGGTGGTAGTATCAAGAAGGCAAGAACGCAACAAAAAGGCTCCTGATTTACAAAAGAAATGTCAACTGACAAAAATATCAGAATAATGTTAAAAAGATACTCTGATCCCGTAACAGTTCTATATATAGTGACTTAAACATTTTACAAAACAATACTGACTCTACCTTATACGGCAGAATTATTTTCGAGCAAGGAATTTAGATTACTTAGCCAGTGGAGTGCTATACTATATATTATCATCCCAGAAATCACTGCAGACAAGCATGTATTGAGATGGGAGATCCTCACATACTCTGCGATGCCAGTGTGTTATAAACTATAGGTACAAATCATCAAGCCTTAAATCACTGTGAGCAGAGGTGAGTGTCGGCATAGCTTAGTTCAGCTGATAAGGCAAATAATGTCACGAGGCAGACATGGACGGCACGTAGTATGGCAAAATGGCATCTTTGAGAACAATACCTTTGTTCCAAGGCAAATTAGTAGTAAATATTTGCAGTGTGTTGATCATGACAATTACCCCAGATTAAACATGTGACTTTACTGTTAATACACTAAAATACTATCCAACAAATTGAAAGAAAATAAGTTAATAAATAGAATGTAATTAAGAAATTAGTCACATGTTAGTGTCAATTCAATGCAAATTAATGCACGTTAGCTCAAACATAAGTACATGTAATAGTGACATAAGGTTAGGGATGCCCTCTGAGTGCATATGTATTGCCGGTTCAGTGCCCCACCCTCTCAGGCCACAATAAAAACACAAGTGAGATTACTTCTGGCACAGTTGTTATTAAACCATACTAGCTTTGGTGGAAGACAAGGTGACGATACAATCTGAGATCGGTTTTACTATTGGCTGTGGAAGGCACATGAGGATCAGCTTAATGATGGAGCAAGATGATTAGGAGTGAACACAAATGTCATTGTTATTCTGTGAGTGGACGGTTAATATGTACACGCAGAGTAGACATGTAGTTCATCTTGCCAAAAGATTGCAGTGAATTCCCCTAGTGGTCATTTCCCTTTGAACAACAAACATCTCCTGCTGCTTCTTGGCATGTGTGCTAACAGAATGTGTGTGCGAGTTTAAGTGCCTTTAATGTCTTCAGTGAACCCATGTAAAGAAAGCTATCTCGTCCAGGTCCACGGGGTAGTCAGTGAGGTACATGGGGCACTTATCAAAATGTTCTCCCTTGTAGCTTTTCCATCGTCCGGCAGGCAGGTAGATGTCCCTCTCCTGCTTCCCTGGCTCCAGCACCGGAGCCACCATCAGGTCATCCCCGATCAAGAACTGGGAGTCGATCTTGTAGGCGGCCTCGTCGTTGATGGCGATCCACCAGAGGGGCCTTATGATTGGGTCTCCTGTGTCAAGGACCTCGCCTGCCAGCTCGAGGACCCTTGGGGCCACCAGAGTCTTGTGAAGCTCTGTGAACTTCTGTGCTATCTGTACAACCTGCAGGTCAAAACACAGAGATACAGAGTTAGCCTAATAGAGCTGCATGGTATGGGCTCAGAACAGTCTCATAATACACACATGCACACAGAAGGATTCACACTTGTATTTCATGATCCACAAAAGGATTCACACTTGTATTTCCGGATCCACACTTGTGTTTTTCAATGCACACACAAATGTGTTCCGTTTCATATACATGTAAATAAAATCCAAATACAGAAAAAAGTTTTACATATGTATTTTTGATCCTCACATATTTGTTTTCCGTTTAAATCCCCTGAACCTGCAAACACAAACCGCTTTCTGTGCATGGATTGCTCTGCATTCGTGTGTGGGTTTTTTGAGACTCCCCTGACGGTCACCCGATTCGTACTTGTAATTTTTTCTATCTATAGCCAATCAGATGTCTCCTCAATTCTAAGCCAATCACATGAGCGCGCCCCCACGAGGGTAGATTTCTTGCGTTCATGTCACTTCATATACGCATTTTGCGTAGTCCGGAGCAGGGTTTCCGCGGACAGAATTTAATTTTACCGGACAAATTTGAAACTTACCGGTCATGTTTCAATAATAATAATAATAAGAATTGTGTAGCAGCGTTTCCGTTAGGTAATTACCGGACTATGACCGGATAATAACACGGGAGTAAGGATCATCTCTTTTCCTCTCTCCCTCCCTCTCTCCTGACAGCCCGTCAGTTTCTCATGCAGCTCGCTAAAACTTCACTCGCGTTTATGTCCATATCGATCAGATCCAGCTCTCCTGATCGGCCTTTATAGAGAGCACCGATCAAACTATTAAGAGTGAATATCGGCCGATAATGACCGGCGGGGCTCCCCCCGTTGACAGTTCACTGTCTAGCACTGGCTTCGTAGTGCACTGATCGATTAGGCTAAGCTAACCTCCACACTCACAACAACTTCATACAGACATAAATAAAGCAGCTGATCGCCATACAGGAAACACACATTTAAAACAGTTTTGCCTGCCGTTTTTGTGTACACAAGCATTCATTAATGGTTCGGAAAGTGGCACTGTACCTTAATAATATAAAGGCTTGTATTTGCGTGCATTTCCTGATCGGAAAGTGGTAATGTACTGAGAGTGGAGGTGTCCTGAGATTAGCGCCTGCAGGCAGGCTCCATGGACCTGTCAGCTCCGGACAGCGCAAAATGCGTACATGAAGCGCTACGTCATGAACGCAAGAAATCTACCCTTGTGGGGGGCGCGCTCATGTGATTGGCTTAGAATTGAGGAGACATCTGATTGGCTATAGATAGAAAAAATTACAAGTACGAATCGGGTCACCGTCAGGGGAGTCTCAAAAAACCCACACACGAATGCAGAGCGATCCATGCACAGAAAGCGGTTTGTGTTTGCAGGTGCAGCGGTTTTAAACGGAAAACAAATATGTGAGGATCAAAAATACATATGTAAAACTTTTTTCTGTATTTGGATTTTATTTACATGTATATGAAACGGAACACATTTGTGTGTGCATTGAAAAACACAAGTGTGGATCCGGAAATACAAGTGTGAATCCTTTTGCGGATCATGAAATACAAGTGTGAATCCTTCTGTGTGCATGTGTGTATTATGAGACTGTTCTGAGCCCATAGCATGGAGGCTGGTTTATTAAGACATTTTCTTCTAGATTTCTGATAGCAATACATGTAAGACAAGGACGAGGGGTTAGTAAGTAATACCTACTATTATTAGATGTGTGTACCATTTATCTACATTTATTAATCATCTAGTCAATAATACATTAAATGGTTGTCATGCTTTCCTAGTGTCGAGCTAATTCTGGCTTGAAACGTTGTGCTTTTTATAAATGTAAGAAAAATAATTAAAGAGAACAATCTACAGTACATTGTTGAAAGTCTATTATAAGCAGGAATCATAATTCAGTTGTTTGACTTAACAACTTGTCATCAAAGATGTGGACAAGCTTTCACATGAATGGAAATATATTTGCACATACAAATTCTACCTAGAGTGGTTTGAATTGGGTTACCTCATTGTCATAGGCCCACGGTGGTATAGAGAACTGCATGGCAGGCATGAAAGCAGACAGCTCCAACCATCGGATGTACAGCTCTCTGTCTGGAAGAACGTTTTTGCCATCTGAAGTACCTAAAAATACAAAACAGATGTAAGAAAGTACACTAAAACCATATCCAATATCTTTATGTGTCTTACTTAAAGCCAACTCTGGACCCCAAGGCAATGTTGGAGTAGTCTTGTATTGTTTGTAAGGTTAATAACTTGACGAAATGACCAGGAAGTATTTTAGTGGCAGCCATGATGGGAGATGTTGGAATTGTCTAAATACTAAAGAAAGGTGCTTTAAAGGTCCCATGTCATGCTTTTCTGGTTATTACCCGTCCCCTTATGTGCTATGTAGCTTGTTATGCATGTACACGGTCTGCAAAGTCACAAACCCTCAAAGTACACCCTGTAGCGAGTAAAACTCTAACACAGAAAATACCTGTCTATGCTGCCCCAGAACGCCTCGTTGGAGATTTTCATTTTTCCATTTTTTTCTTCCTGAGTATGGTGACGTAACCATACCCAGGTCCAAATGGACCAATCCGTGGAGCTCCTCACACACACACACACACACACACTCAGCCTTGTCTTTTCTCAGCAGCGGTGCTGCGCGGAGTTTCGCCGGCACACACACTCACTCAGCCTTATCTTTTCTCAGCCGCGACTCCGTGGATCTCCACTCACAGTTCGCCACACACTGTGTGTGTGTGCTCAGGCTGAGTTCCGCGGTCTCTCGCTGTCTCGCAGACCCCACACAGGGGTCATTTCCTTGACACCAGTAACCCAGCTCACACTGGCCGCTCCTCGAGCCTCAAAGGGCGGAGCAGCGAGCCCCGCAACCTCCCGTCAACACGGCACCCAGACCCCACGCAGCATTCTCATCTGTTTGTCATTACAGGTGTCATTTTCTGGTTGCTAACAAACGCCATTGTAACACATAAACACACATCAGAGCACAGTGGGCTCATAGGGGGGGGGGGCAGGAACAAGCCGTTTAGGACAGAGAGTGAATACACATACTATACAGACATGCTGTATGAGAAACCAATGTGAGTTTGGAACATTGAACAATGTAAATCTATTCTAGTAGACCTCAACAATGGAATTATGATCAGTAGAAATGGCCATGACATGGGACCTTTAATGCTTACTTTCTAATTTAGCAAAGGCTCCACTAGACCATTTTATATTTAAGGAAAGTAAATAAAGCTATCCCACCATCCCTTTAGTATTAATATTTGAAGTGACGCACATCAATAATATCCACCCATCCTAGCATTAGTGCAGTCCGATTCACTTAACAGGCAGTTGTCTTTTCCAGGAATGAATTTCTCAAAATCTTTTCTTGACCTCATGACTTTTTAAAATCAAAGTTAAGGTAAAGTGGTTAGGAAAGGGCATAGGACCTAATTTTGTTGGACTATTCGTTCGCAGCCTCTGTAGAAATATGTTATGGAGTACCATACCTGTGGTGCGGTTGGGGTATGCGTTCCCTCCTATCATATCAGGTAAGACAAACTGGTAGCCCAGAATGCTAATCGTCAGTACAGTCGGGATGATGGACTTGAGGCCGAGCTCGTAACCCCACACAGAGTCTCTGTCAATGATCCTGAAGAAGCAGGAGATGTTCTGGCTCTGGTAGCCGACCCTCAGCTCTGCACGCTCACTGAACGGGATGACCATCTCTGTGTAGCGGCGGGTGAAGGTGGAGGGATCCGACAGTGGGACCATGGTGCTAAACTGGCGTGGGAGGTAGCTTGACTCCCCTGCATCAAACTTGAAGGACGTGACGCCATAGCGAGTTTTGATCATATGCAGATGTGAGGAATACCACTCTCTTGCTTCTGGGTTTGTAAAGTCCAAGATTCCTCCGATGCCGTTCCACCAGCGAACCAGAGCAGGCAGCTCTCCGCTCGGCTCCCGCACAAACAGTCCTTTCTCCACAGCAACACCAAAGTTGATGGAGTCATAGTTGATAAAAGGATGAGTCCAGAGCGACACTTGAAACCCGTCCTCTCTGAGTTTGTCAAACATACCGCTAGCGTTGGGGAACTTCTGCGGGTCAAAGTCAAACTCTCCATAATCTGAAGTGTAGCGGTCGTCCAGCTCCAGGTGGGAGCACGTGAAGCCATGCTCGGTGATGTCAGAGGCGTACTGCAGCAGTTTGTCCTGAGTCACAGCTGTCTTATGGAGAGCCCATGTGGACCACAATGGCTGTTTGAACACTTCAGGGGATGGCACCTTGCTGGGCTTTGGGAAATATCGACGCACCTGAGCACAACAAATGCAGACACTTACTGCAGGAATATTCACAGCAACAATTTACAGTGGAAATGTTTGCTCCACTGCTGTATTTGGTGATAATAATGTTCTCATCTTAGTATATTTCCCCCAAAATGTCAGAATTTGACTTCAAATACTACGTGGCAAAGATGTCTCCAGCGGTGTGAAATCAAAACTAATCTCAATTCAAGTCCTTGTAACTTTAGCAACTAGCCATTTTTATTTATAAATGAATACATGTTTTGCAAGTATAGATCACAGTTATCAGAGTCCTACGTTACACCTTAAAGCATCCTGTTTTCGTACTATCATCAATCCAAAACCCAAAGATATTCACTTTATTGTAATATAAAAAAGAGAGAAGCAAAAACAAACAATGTAGAAACTAGAAACTAGATTTTGGTAGATACATGAATTTGTCAACAACTGTCAGAGTTGTTCATAATTAATATTTCTGTAATATATCAGTTAAGAATACATTATGCTTTGATATTTCCTGTCATCTTCACTCCAATTTAGCTCTTTTAAATTTGTTTAAACTTTCTTTACTTTTTACTTTAAGTGCTTATCCAAGTGTAAACAATTCCCCCCTGCCCCAAACAATCTCAAAAGCAAACACTTCAGACTTAACTACTGTATAGTGCTCTTATATCAATAATAAGTTATTGTTACAAGTGAACTTACAATTCCACAGTATGTCATTACTTACCATGTATTTGTGAATAGAGGTGACATCCAAACCCACACACACTCTGTAGCTGAGTTCGGGTAAGGCCTGCTGTCCCTCTGCTGGTTTGAAGGGAGAGTCCTGGTACCGGGCCTGGAACCTGAGGGTCCTGTCCTTCTCTGACCAGCCCAAATGGAAAGGCACTGAGTCATTAATCTTGATGGCAGTCGCATTTGAAGACAGCCAATAGCGTTCCAAGATACCCCCAAAAGCATCTCGATTGGAGTAGACATCGCTGGTGATGAAAGGCTCAGGTTCCTTTTCTCCCTGTATCCTGATAGGCCAGTACTGTGTTGCTGTCTCCGCCCCTCCATACCAATGAGAGTCATTATAGGCCATGGCATGCTCCACTGAGCGCTTACTTTGCAGCTCCTCCCAGCGAACACGGTAACATATCACAGTGTCCTTTGGTCTAACAGTCTGGATAAAGAAGTTGAGCTTGCCAGAATCTGACTGAGTGCAGCTCAGGATATTTCCCTCTTTGGAGCAGGAGTCCAGATCCAGAGTGCCAGACCTGGAAGGCAGCAACAACACAGTTATAACATATAAATGAACTTGTGAAGCACAGCACCTATTGTAACTTCCAAATAATTGTGAGAATACTTTGCAATTGAAATATATTGTTTGCTACATTTCATTACTGTATTTCACTGAGAGTGCAAATACCATGGCTATTTCTGGGAATGTGAGCTTTGCTGATAAAGGACCTGACCAAATCACTTTCCCCTAAGGATGTAATCATGTGTCTGCCTCCTGTGGCTTTCCATTAAACATCCACACATTGCAGACAGGCAGCTTTTTAGTACAAATCAGCACAGAAAGAGAAACAACTGTGCCAAGGCAAAAAAAAAGATATATGGTACAAGAATACTCTGAACTAAGATGTATCTGATTCACCAGAAAACAGTTAATTAATGTTCCTATTTTGATTGTATTTTGATTGCTCTGAAATGGCCATGGCAGCAGCAGGATAGATGTTATCATGTGCATATTCCAGCTCGAAGAAATGTCATCTGCAACTACAACATAGTAAGTGTAAAGAATTATAATAACAGTATCGTCCTGCGATATTATGTGTTGTGATACTTATTGATTGTCAAAGACACTATATGTTTTGATGAATAGTGTATTTAACATGAAAAGATGATCTCAGTTAATATTTTATATATTATTTTAAATAGATATGCGCCATCTTAAAGAAGTGATATTGACTTTTTTTGTGTTACAAGGATTGTAATAAATGCAAATAAATTTCACTGATTGCATAAAAAGTAATCTCTTTTTAATTAGATTGTCACTTTCTAGTCACTTTCCAAACAGAAAATGACAAAGAATCTCTGGTGCCAGTTTCTTAAATCAATTTTATGTTGGAGCATGTTCTCCATTGATTTGTTTTGTTTTATTCTGAATTGAATGTGTTTGGGGTTTTGAGCGTTGGTAAGACAAACTGAGAAATGTATAATAAATAATAAAAATATATATAAAGAATGAAAATAGTCCCCACAGTAAACGTACCTGAAGGTCATACTGAAGACCACAGCCCCCGTCATGTTATGAATAATAAAACCGTCCTTGTTGAGGTCCAGCAGCTCGGCCTTCAGCAGCTGGGCTTTACGGAGGGACGCTGAGTAGTAGCACCAGGACACCACAGCAGCCAGCACCAACACACAGCCCAACAGGCCTGCTAACACCATGGGCCGGCCCTCATGAGACCGTTTCTTCTTCATGGGAGAACCACCGACTGTCTGCTGCTCCCCAGGAGCCACCGGCACAATCTGGTACATACTGAAGATTTACAGCAAGGAGGTGTGCAGGAGAGCAGCTTTGGAGGAAGAGTGGCTGGAGTGGACAGCTGTAGTGAACTCGCTGTCAGTGTCACTGAAAATGGAATATCTGTCACACTGACAGAAGTAGAAATAAAGGAAAGCCTGATGTCTACCTGTCGATCTTGAGCAATGCCTCCATCTGAATGATTTGTCCAAACCTGCAAGATGAATAAAGAGAGACAGGGATCTACATTTAGTTGATTTTTTGCTCAATTTATATCAAGTCAATACAAAGAAAGTCATACATCATTGTCGTGTCAAATTATCATATAATCATTTAAAACATATAGTCTTATACACTGATTGCCTTTTAGTTTTATGCTAAGGATTTACATTTCAGGAGGGCAAAAGGAAGTGTAAAAGGGGGATATGCAAATGCTTAGGACGAGGGGGTGTTATGGTTTAATGGTGGGGATGTTTCGATGATGCCTAATGGAATTTAAGGGTGGGACCAGTTGGCTATTCTCTCTACTATATAGTGTGACTGTAAGCTGTGTTCTGGGTGCAGATCCACTGAGGATGAAGTAGCTCTGTTCCTACATTTGGGATTGATTTCACTTGTATATTGACTTTCTTTATTACTTTATTAAATATAACAAAAGACAAACTTTGTCCATGAATCATTTATCAGTTTCTCTTAAGAATGTCCTCCACAATCATAAAGTAAATCAACAGAAAAATAATTACCAACTATTCAATATAAATAATCAATACATTTTCATGCAGAAATGTCGGAAAATGCTGTTTTTAGGCTCTCAAATATGACGGGTTTTTTGCCCTGTTTCTGTTTAATATCATGTTAAACTGAGTATCTTGGACTGACAAAACAAGACATTCAAAGTGAGTAGCTTGGAACTGTTTGGGCATCTTTCACTTTTTTTATGGAAGGTATAGGCCAAAACGTTAATATATTCATTTGGATAATAATGGGCAAATTAATCAATAATGAAAGGAATTGTAGTTGAAGCCCTAATAATAATTACATAATAATGCTATGTAGTACATACAAATCCACTGTTGGTCCCTTGTCACCCACATCACAGAGGGTGTTTGACAATCCAGTTCTAATATTACCACTGAGTCTCCATAAATTAAGTTATAAATAGCTTTAGAGCTCTCCACACTGCATGCTCTAATACACCCTAAAACAATATAGTGTACAATAGTTCTGCATGAGACAGTTACTCATAAGCAATCTAACTTCCCTTCAGTGATGCTACAGTATATTTACCACCACCACGTTGGTATATTGTTTACAAGTTAAATAGCTATATGTTACTGTACTGTGTTCACTTGCTGCCAGGTGTCTACTGCAGTGGTTCAGCAGCAGCAGTGTCCCCAGCAGAGAGAGACAGAGAGAGCACACAAGCTTTAATCTGGTAAATGGTAGGTAGAGGTGCTGTGAAGCCACATTGGCACTGATAGAAACAGAACCAGTGACACCATAAAAACAGGCTTTGATCAGAAACACAATGTCAGCATAGTTAAATGACATTTATCCCTCAAGTAAAAGCACCTTGGGATTGAGTAAATAATATTTAAAAAAGTAGCAAACCTCCAATAAGGGCACTGCAGCAGGCCTATAGTTTTCAGATATAGCAAAGGGCAATCATCTACAACAGAACCATATTTAATGTTGCAACAGGTATCATTATGCCTCAGTGTTGCAGTGCAGGGAGAAAAGGACATTTTTGAAGTGCATACCAAGCAAGAACCTCTGTTGCGTGACCTGTGTTCCTCTTTGAGAAAGTTTACACAACCCCCTGTTCGAATTACATCCTTTACCTTCTCTGTGTGTAGAATTACAGAAAAAACTGCACTGCCTGTTTCAACCATCATTTGTAACTTGTTTCATTGAGTTTTTAAATCGATTGCCTTGATGTTCAAAGCAATTCTATGATACATTGTGTTGGGAAAGTGTTTAATTTTCAAGTCCCAAATATTATAGCTAACTGCTTTATCAGGAAACAGGCATAAAACAATGTTTTTTGTACAATTATCACTGCACAGCACACACAATGTTTTATGAAGCAATAACTATTATGTTATGGATACTCTAGTTAACGATAATGGCCTGCTCACTGTGACCAGAAATTCATTGTTGTTGCTTATGGGGACCAAATGGATGCAATGCAGTGTTTTGATATACAGTAGAAAGTATCGATTCTGATCAGTGCTGTACTATTGTCTGGTCTCTGTGGGTTATCCATTTTTCTTACCGAACAGCGAGCTCACAAACACAGGAACAGATTTCTCCATAGTGACTGCTAATTGTTGTTTGTTCACTTTAGTTGAAGCTATCAAACTATTACACTGCATGCAATTCATCTGACTTTGCTGAAATGATGGTCCCATACAGCGCCTCCAGATGCTATGTATTTGTTTATATAATGTTCTACAATAGTGTCGATGTGACTCAGTATAACTAAAGTATCAAGCGTTACTAATGTGCCAGTGTCGGATCGATAACCCACAAGCACTCTCCGACACGAATATCGCTGTTGTCGCTGCATACAGTGACACTGTAACCGGTCGTACCAGTTGTCAGAAATGTGGTTGGAGACGGTCATGTTCACCGCTAAAAAGCTTAGTTAGCCATGTCAATAAGACACAAAACAGTTAGATAACACATTTAAAACTGTGGTTTCTAGCAACGTGGTGATAAAAACAGAGTTATCTTACCTCTGCATCTGACTCTCTGGGGTCAATGTGTACACAGCTGTGAGCGCAGTACCACAATGCGCAGCTGCAGAGCGGTTTGAAGTTTCACGGTCCCGCCCCAAGCACAAAGATTCGTTAATTAATCTGTCACTCATCCAATGGGCTTCTGGGAAATGTAGTGTGAGAACATGGTAAAAGAGACGAATCTACTAACTAGCTTTCAAGTTGGTTCAGATACTGAAATTGTCAAACTCTCAGCTGGGCAGGGATAAAGTAGGTAACTAATGATTACTAGTAGGCTATGGGCATCATTTTAAAATGATTGTTCGTGTGCGTTTTTAATCAAATGTGCTAGCGTTGCCCATGGAAACATTTCAAATAGGCCAATGAAAGACACAATTGTATCCGTTTTTATTAACCTACAGAATATTGTGTGTGAATATAAGTGATTTAACCTAGCTGAATTTTTCATTGTTAACTATTTGTCTATGACTACTTTGAAAGGTGAAAAGACGGTTTGAGTGTACTCTCACCAAGTGTGTTGATAATCTGGCACACTGGAGCAGGGTTGCACAGATTGTCTTGAACAAACTACAGAGGTGAGATCATCTGGAGTAAAAATAATGTTGTTGTGACTGAGACATGCCTTCTGCCACTGGGTGACAGCAAAACACTATGAACATAGGAGCTCAAAGACGGAACAAGAGGGCAATGTGAAACAAGTAGGCCTACCCTATATTAGAAACCTTGTTTATCTTCTGAGGCAATGCACATATTCCTGTTACTCCATTTACTGTAATATCAGTTCGTTAGAAGTTTAAACGGTCCCAGCTAAAGTATACAATGGTACAATTATTTTGCTAGTAGTTAACGTTATAACTGTTCTTTTTATGTGCAACGTTGGTGGCAGAATTAAGCTAACCTAGCATAGCAATAGTAGCAGTAACATTAGCTTTGACAAGTAGCATACTAGAAGCTCTTGTATAAAGAAGTTAACCTTAGTACTTTTAACAAAAGCAGTAAACTAGTAGCAGAACCAAAATATATAAATGTGTATTAAACATTTCGACAACCAAATTGACAAAAACAATACTGTATACTCAGTGGTGTAAAATAACTTTTGAGTAAGTACATTTTCTCAAGTATTGTAGGTGGGGTAAGTAATTCACTTCAGAAACACTTTTTGTTATATTCCATGGAATGCTCTTAACATCCCGATAGCAATGAATACATTTCATTTCATTTCAAACCTTTATTTATCCAGGAGTATCATTGATCTCTTTTTCAAGGGAGACCTGCTCAAGTAGGTTCCACATGAAACATTAAAACATAAACAGAACAACAAAAAGGACATCATACAGCATCATTACAGGGATTACAATTTACATAACTATCCACATGAACAGGTACCAACAGCTTCCGATTGAGTAGCATCCAACCGAGCTTTAAAAACATTTAGTGGCACCAGATTGCTCAGTTTCCATTTCAATTGCAGACTATTCCAAGACAGTGGAGCTGCGCATCTAAATGCTATCTTCCCTAAGACAGTCCTAGCAGTTGGCACATTTAATAAAACCACAGCATGCGATCTCAGGCAGTAGCCACTTACAATTCGCCGTGAGATCAGGGAGCAGATGTAGGATGGAAGTTTCCCTAACATGGCTTTGTATATAAAAATGTACCAGTGACTGAGCCTCCGTACAGTTAGCGAAGGCAAACCAGCCCTTGCATACAGGGTACAGTGATGGGTTAATGCTTTACAGTTTGTCACAAATCTCAGTGCACTGTGATACGCAGCATCTAACTTGACCAGGCAATTGGCAGGTGCATTCATATAAATCAAATCACCATAGTCCAGCACAGGTAAAAAGGTCACAGTGACTAGCCTTTTCCTGGCCTCGAGCGAGAAACAGGACTTGTTCCTGTAGAAGAAACCTAGCCTAACCCTCAGTTTTTTAAGCAGGTTATTGACATGACGTTTAAAAGTGAGACATTCATCAAGCCAGATGCTATGGTATTTGTAACAGGTAACCACTTCAAGTTTTATTCCTTGCGTAGTTACAATATCTAAAACAGGCTCTGGTGTCTTTTTAGCTTTTGAAAAGAGCATTACCTTGGTTTTATCAACATTTAAAAGAAGCTTTAGTTCAGAGAGCTGAGTCTGAATAATGTTAAAAACAGCTTGCAATTCAACAACAGCCTCCTTAATGGAGGGACCTGCACAGTACATAACGGTATCGTCCGCATAAAAATGTAAGGTTGCTCCATCGACATTTTCACCTAAACTATTGATGTAGATGGAGAATAAAAGTGGACCTAAAACAGAACCTTGAGGAACACCATTAGTAATGTTTAACCACTCAGAAGGCAGCCCATCAAAATGAACACATTGGGACCTTTCAGAGAGGTAGTTCACAAACCACCCTACTGCATGGCTGGATATGCCAATACTGAGTAGCCTCTGCTTTAAGATGCGATGATCGACGGTATCAAACGCTTTGGACAGGTCACTAAATAGAGCTGCACAACTCTGCTTATTATCTAAAATACTCGCCACATCATTCACCACTTTTATTGTGGCAGTGATGGTGCTATGTTGCTTTCTGAAGCCTGACTGATGTTTAGACAGGATGTCATTTGTACATAAAAACACCTTTACCTGTTCACTCACTAGGCGTTCAAGAACCTTAGCCAGAACTGATAATTTAGAGATGGGTCTATAATTATTTAATAAAGTGGCCTCCCCTCCTTTTAGTAGAGGCAGGACATACGCTGACTTCCACAATTTTGGAATTGTGTTTGTGCTGAGGGAGAGGTTAAAAAGAGTAGTGAGAGGTGGAGCAATAAAATCTGCAGCTATCTTTAAAAAGAAAGGTTCTACGTTGTCCGGGCCGGCCGGTTTCTTAGGATCTAACTTGGTTAAAGCTTCACGAACAACATCAACAGTAAAAGGAGTAAAACTAAAAGGGTTTTCCAAAACACGTTTTTCAGAGTCACAGACTGTGGTGTTCACAGATGCAGAGTTTGTGACAGAATCAAACAGAGAGCCACAGGACACAAAATGCTCATTAAAACAATTGAACATTAAATGCTTTGACAATAAATACATACAAAAAATTCATCTGTGGAAGTCGTGGTGCTGTAAAAAGCACGACCAATCATTTTAGCCGGCCCGGCTAAAATAACTGGATGGCCTACCTGCCTGTCAGCCTTCCATCTGTGCACAAACTTATCTCGTGCCCTCATTGGTCATGTGCGCGTCCGTGTGTGTTGGAGGAGGGGCTCTGTAAGGAAGTCTGAAGGAAGGGGCAGATTTCTTCCGGTTGTGTACTTTCAAATTCTAGCGCACTCGAGCTGGTTTCTCCATTCTTACCTACCCTACCATTAAGTAGCCTACTGTTTTGAGGTATTTGTACTCGAGTATTTCCATTTATCGCTACTTTACACTTCTACTCAACTACATTTCAGATCCAGATATCATACTTTTTACTCCACTACATTAATTGAACTTTAACAGAACTCTGTACACATATACAAATATGATATGGTATAATGCAGTACTTAAACTTAATACTAAACTACACATTGTTTCAATTAACTACATTTGGTCCAAATTGACCAAGAACAATTTATTGACAATTAAAAGAAATTATTATTATTATTATTATTATTATTATTATTATTATTATTATTATTATTATTATTATTATTTTGAAATGGGCCATTTTGCAGAATGAGTACTTTTACTTTTAGTACTTTAAGTACATTTTAATGCTAACCATTTTGTACTTTTTTTTATAGTGAATTGGGACTTTTACTTGTTAAAGAGTAATTTATGACAATGATGATTGTTCTTTTACTTAAAGGATCTAAGTACTTCTTCCAACACTGTTTACTACAATATGTTGTAAACTTACCCCAGAAAACATGATGGTAGCATTAACCCATCATATTTTTAATAGGCTTTAAGGCAAGGAAGAACATGGGCTCATGGTAAAAGTAAAAAAAGACATGATGGGAATATCACTAGAACTTGTGATACTGTTTCAGTTGAAAAACTACTGTTTGTGGTAAGAGTGCAAACGTATTAGTGATATTTGTAGAAGCACTAATAGTATTTGGCAACTCTGTTTCAGAAGCTGCACTGGTGGAAATATCTCAGGAGCCAGACTGACTGTCAGGGTGCAGAGGGCAGATGCTGCTGGTGCTGCTGGTGTCCCTGCTCTGCTGTGTCCCTGCAGCAAAGGCCTGTCTGCAGTGCGACCGAAGCATCAGGCTCTTACATGAGGACTTTGTCCTGTCTGCTCCTTCTGTGAACGACCAGATTGAAATACAAAAGATTTGTGACTATGCATATGTGACCTACAGAGAGACCAGCCAGGAGCGAAAAGGAGTTATTGGTGAGATCAATATTTGGTTCAGCACAAAAACAATATGGCATGTGTGTGAAGTATGCTGATTATTTTATTAAGCCAAATATGTCCCATATGTTCTTTCTATCTTTCCGTTATAGTGTTTTATAATTTAACTGTGACATATTAAAAAAGATCAGTAACATATTATTGTCTGTTGCTCATTGCTCAGATCCCACCACTCTATACAGAGTCAGAACTGAGTACCAGAGTGAATTTCACCGCTTCTTGAAAACCCAGCACACTGGTGAGAAACATAATAAGTTTTTATTTGTCATCACTGACTATTTTTAGACAAGCAGTCGGAACAAACTCAATGTGGACAAGATTTCTAAGGCAGTCTGCTCTTTTTTAAAGGATCTGTAACATTTGAAGCCATTCAGATAATGGAGAAGGGCAGGAAGATCTTAGAAAAACACTTGGACATATTCATCCAGGATGGTAATTGGCATGAATATTAGTATGTGTTTTGCACAGTGTGAGGCAGGGCACATGTGTAAGGCATTGTCATGTATAGGATGCATTAGTTACAGAGCATTCGTTTGTCTTCCTTTAGGATTGTGCCCCAACAAGTGTGGTAAGTTTTGTTCTAATGATCCTTCCCCTCTGTATCTGTATTAATCCCTTGTTGAAGAACAGTGTGTGTGTACAATATTCAGTGCATGTTCACAAGACATGAGTGTGTGGTATGGTTTTTCAGGGCTTTTGAAACGAAGAGTAATGGATTGCTTCTCTTGCCGCTACCAGATATACGTCTGTCCCTCTCCCTCAGGCCAGCAGAACTGTGGCGGTATATCTTTATTTGTTTCTGTGTATATTTGTGCATGATGTTGGTGAGTGGGTGTGGGATGAACGTACTTCTGTAATCGGTTCCTAAGCGAGGCACTGGTGCTGCAAAATATTATTCAAGTTATCCTGACGCAAATGAGTCTAGCTTCTCTCTTTTTTCTCCTCTCACTCACTGTAGACTACCCAGTGCAGGCTGAGGAGGGGGGGCAGGCAGTGTTGAACTGTTTCCTTCCATGGCATCGCATTCTGTTGGAAAAAACAGAGTATCACTACTCCTGGGCCCCCGGTGTGCCAGGAACTAAAAAAGTATGTTTGCAATCACTATCTCTTCCTGAAAGGTGGCCACAAACAGCATGGGTTTAGCACTTTCAAGCACTTTGCACACTTCCTTATTCCAGTGTATTACAATATGTTCCTTTTTTAGATGAACACAATCATCATGTACATGCACATTTACTCCAAGCCACTAACTCACAACTATCACTTCCTAATGTGTGTGCAGCTGAACGAGAGTGACTTCAAAGCATTGGTAGTGACAGACGACTCATCTGTGGTCTTAAACCAGCTGCATGTGGCTGAACAGGGAACATATCGCTGCTCTCTGCAAGGCCGTAATGGAACCGTTTTCTACCGAGTCACTTTCCTCCTCACTGGTAGGGTACAGCTCTTATACATGACATCACAGAAAATTGTCGCTCAAAGGGCAAAAGGCAACAACACATGCTCAATTTCTCACTTTTAACAGTTCAAACATAGAAGAAGAAAAATACTCCAATAAACATTTGTTAATTCTATATAATGGCAGTAAATTAAACACTCAGATCAAATGTCTCGCTGTTGGTGTTTAAGTGCTCCTTAAATGTTAGACTCTAGGGCCATGGGGATGTTAAAGGATATCCAGGCGAATTCTGAAATGGTTACTTTCAAACAAATAATTCCCATAATGTTGAAAAAGTTAAACTAATGGCTTATACTTATTTACTGCATATGTGTGTGTCTGTGCTTTTTGCTGGTTAAGTGGATGCAGGATGTATGAATTTCTTTAACTGGGTTGGTGTTTTTCTTCTTATTCACTAGGTGGGCTTTCTTTTGGCCTATTTGATGTTCATTATGCTGAATGGATTTAAAACAAAGCACACAGGGTTAACCTGTATTAAAATGTGCTATTTATTGCAAATAAAAACAAAAAAAACAATGCCAGATGCATAAAAAACATGTTGATATATGTACCTTATGCTTATAGTTGCCTGCTAAATTAACAAAATAAATATTCCCTGAGAGAAAGCTTTTTGTAAACGTTCACGGCCTCAGCAGGTTGGTGACAGTGTGGAAACCCCTGTCACCCCATGTCCTGCTTCTATATTTTCCTCCAAAGAAAGATGTTTTTACAACTCTACTATTTCATCTCTCTGTGGTTGCCCTCCTCCCTCTTCACAGTCGCCCCTGTGCCTGACCCAACTCTCCGACCCGTGGTCACGCTGCCCTCGCCGCCTCACGGAGACAACTACTCAACTTTCCATCCTGAAGACCTGCTGGTGCCACTCATCGCCATGGTTACTGCTATGAGTCTGGCAGCGATCATAGGCCTCACAGTTGTCCTGGGGTGAGAGACATTAAGTGGGTGGGGGGAGAAAGAGAGATAGAGGGTAGCAGGAAGGGGTGGGTGTGAAAGCGGTGACACGTAACAGTCACAGAGTATGACAAACTAAAAATGATGCAAGATAAAGGAAGTGGCCATGTACAGTAGTCATATATTGCAGGAGTGAATCATGATTTATGAGACATACTTATTTTAGTTATAAATATGTTTATTGTTTTCAATTAAGCGGTTTTCTCTGAAAAAATGGTCACTTCTTACAGGAAGTGATGTCAGTCAATGTGTTAGATTTTAAACACACGAACAAGGTAATCCGGTCACTTGCTGTTATTTCTTTGTGTTAGGTCTGGACCTAATTTAATATTACTGTTTGTAATCTTTTTAAGAATGATGATGGGTCAAAGGAGAGCCACAGAGGAGCCGAGGAGGACGGAGAGGAAGAACACACCAAACACGGTGTGATAAAGATACTGTATACAGTAAATACACACATTACAGGCAGGGAAGTTTTACTCACTTATAACACAGGTTGGACATTTCTCTTAAAAGCTAAATAAATTTCCCGACACAAAGAGCCAAGTAGAAATTCCACAGAAGTGAGAAACATGTTGATATGTTGTTTGTCTTAAGCAATGAAAAAAACTCAATCAATCATTATGAATCAGACACTGTGATCTCACTCGTAAAACAGAAAGTGCGTGTTGTAATAAAACTAGAGACACACACCCACTAAAAATCCCCCAGAAATGTCTCAACTTTCCGTAACATTTAGATTACGCTTGCCAGAACACATCAATGATCTGACCCAAGCGGGGTCACGTTCCCCCAATATGGAGTTATGGCGTTGTCACGTGGGCGTTTATGAGAGGAATCAGGGACGAGGTAAATCTCTCGGTTTACAGTGTTCTTTTCAGAGATTAATAGCTCCAGCCATCCAATTAATCCTGGATAATCCCCATGTGGGCGGCAGGGAGGAAGGCTAGCTGCAGATATTTTACAAGGGTTTCTTTTAATGTGTATTTACCTAAGAGAGAAGGGGCACATTTTTGCTTTACCAATAATGTTCTTAGTCTGAAGTTACCATTTTATTGCATCACCAGATGTTTTATTCTCTGTTTCCGTCTGCCTACAGTCTGCCCTCTCTACATTTTGATGACACAAGCTGATTCAAAGAGTAGTCATCTTTACCTACACAAGTTCTGTCATGATCTCCATTGCCTTCTCGTCATCACCTCTATACGTCTTGTCAGGCGGCGTATAATCTGCTCACTGAAGCAATTTATCTTTCATGCCTTGAGCTATTTTCAGCACCTTCAGCTCGCTGTCAATAGAAAAGTCAAACTTCCTACAATAGACATAATAACAACAAGTTCACACCCATCTCTCAGCATCATGTCAGGCCAGATTTATTTTTGGCTGATTATTTGCCTACAATGACTGACTGATGTGCTAATTTAGAAAAGTTAAACATCCTAACCAAAGAAAACTGAAAGCTAGTGAATGATTGATGTATGAGTCACTGCATCCAGAATTTAAGTAACTTAGTCACCTCTGAAATCATTCATCTTTGCTCAGGTTTTTCAGGGTAATTTCCAACAAACATTTTGAGTCAGGGAAGTCTGTTTGTGTTATTAGCTATGACAAATGAAACAAAGTTGGAGGGGTGAGAGTGGGTGTGCATGGTGACAGGATGTGTGTGTGCAGTGCTGTTTCCTGTGGGACTCTTGTGATGTAGCCGAATGTTAAAAAAAGAAATCTTTGTTTAAACACCCTCAAACAGAGACAGTCATGTCACACTCTTCCTACTCAACAGACCTCAATGTGTGTGTTCAAGCCCTAAAGTGCAGGTTGAGGCTACAGTAAATGCATGCTCAGCGGCTCTGCTGACAGCCATGATAAACTGTTAACCCAAGTCAGTGTGTGGAGTGAAAACGCAGCCTCAGCAGGGGGAGAGCAAGACAAAGTGGGAGGGCTGCTGAGGGGCCAGCAGACAGGCTGAGGGAGGGAAAGAAGGAAATGGGAACAAGAAGAAAGTAGAGTCAGAGGTTTGAGTGGGAGACGTATGTGGGAAGGCAGGGTCATTTTAACGTGGGTTGTGAGGAAATTAAGACAAAGGCGTCAGATTACACTTTGATATTAACTATCCCACACTGAAGAATGTTTTGCTGTGGGTTACTTACAGGACAATGAGTGTACCCACTGTATCCAGGGGTGGGAGCCACATTTAGGAAAACTAAATATTACTCATGTAGGATTGAGACAAGTTAAATTGAAAGCAATACTCAAGTTAAAACACAATAAAAACCATCTTGAGATGTAATTAAAACACCTATAATCTAAAGTGTTTCTCTATAATTAAATAATAAAGATCTGAGTATAAGTAAACATTTTTAAATCATCAATAAGTTTCATTAAGCAAATGTACCTGATCGGCGTGTGGGTATTGTTTAAACTTTAAGTAGACAACGTTGTCACCCACACCTTTTATTACATTTTGATCCAAAAAATACTAACCGCAACATCCCTTTTCCCCTAGTGAGCCCCCCTAAAACCAGTGAGCAGATGACAGACAAAAACACAAAAGTAGAAATCACTCTGGTTTTTAGGACTTTAGGTAACCAAGAAAGAGTCAAAGGGGCATCTTATAACCACCTAAACATTAAGAAAAACACCCTACCAACCTTTGTAATCTTTACCATTAATGGTCTTTAGAGTTTGATAAAGACATATTTCAATCATTTGTTTTATGCTGTTTCCTTTTTTAGAAAGCTTTCTACCAAATGTATGAGACAAAAGTGCCTCACAATTTATATCCTGTTTGCTTAGCTAAAGGCCTATTCTTCTTCAGCACATTACTTTAAATTATACAGTATAATACTGTACTGAATTTATACGTCTGGACATTATATATTTTCCTCATCAATCCTATGGAACACATTTTGATATATCTTATTCTTTTGTTCCATGACCTCCATTGTTGTCCAGAACGATTAAAAGCAAATTGATGAGCCGTAGTGTAATGAACAAGTAGTACAATGTAGTTGATTTTGTGTGAAATCATCATGCTCGCTTGTGCACCAATTCCACAGCTTAAAAAGTTCCCCAATTAAGTTACTGTTCACTCCTCTTTCAGTAACTTGTATTAAAAGGTAGAGTATTACTCAGAGCATTTTTTTGTAAATTATTATAATTTTTTATTAAGCTTTTAAAACAAATTAAGTATCTTTTGTAACATTTTAAAAGATTGTTTGTCTTGTTAGCTTCTTCGGATTTGTTGAGATAAAAAAAAATAGAATATCACCAGCCGTATGGTTTGAGTGTAATTGAATGTATTCAAAGTGTAAGTTTATGAAAACTCATGGTAGTACAATTATGGGATTGTTTAAGTTACTTTACACTTCGCCTATGTGCTAAATAAAATGTCTGTTTGTTTAAACAACGTAATCCATATCTGGCACAGGCCTTAATCCTTGTACAAAAAGTAGGAAAAATGCTGTATCTGATATAACCAGTGCAATGGGCAGTGGCGGCGCCAGGGTATGGCTGGGGTAGGCTACAGCCATACCAAGAAATGGCTTAGCCCCACCATAGCCCCACCATAGCCCCACCATGAAAAGTGATGCAAATTCAATTAAATAATAAGCGAAATGCTAAATGTTGAGAACACGGATTGCGAAAATATACGGGTCGTGTCCACAGCACACAAACTGATCCTGCTGTAACAACAAGTGCACCATACTGATGCAATATGGTTGAGACCATTCGGGCTTATGCTATAAGAGGGGTGCAAGGAATAGTCTAAGTAGTGGGGGAGTTTTATACACTAAAGGTGTGGAAATTCTCTGGCGTTATAATATCAGCGCGGCCGCGGTCAGATCAAAATGCCTCCGAATGCAATTTGAATAGACCTTCAGCCAATCAGAGCAACGCAACGTTGGATCTGCGTCATGCCTTATTGATTGAGATCAATCGAAACCGCCATTCAGTATCCCCATTGGATCTTCAACGTGTACTATCATACGTCACGTTCACAGTGATTCCTTTTTATTTACTACAAGACAAATGTGCCGTTTTATTTCATACAGTTCCATTTTGATTGAGACAGGGAAATAATCTAAACCTCACGCGTGGCGTTTCACTGTCAAGGGGGGCGATATAGCGTGTATGTAATTACATTGCAAATACTGATTTGAGCACCACCACTGTATGGGTTAGCCCTACCATACATTACCCAACAAAAATGCTCTGGCGCCGCCACTGGCAATGGGCAACTGTTGCCTAGACGGCAGAGATTTGTTTTTCTGTTCAGTGTAATGTCATATGAGAGAAGAAAGAATGAGTTCCCAGCAGAGAAGCAACAAGGCAATCAGTCCGGTTCTGACAATGTATCTGTGCATCATTTAACTTTCACTGAAAGTGAAAAGCAACAAAGTAGAAGCTTTGAGAGGAAAGTGTTTTTCTAGTGTGTGATCTTCATGAAAACAGAAGCTGGAAGGCAGTAGTTTAGAGAAGCTCAGGTTTATCTAACCCAAATAAATCATCTCTAAAGGCAGCGAGGGTTTAACTCAAAGCATAACGTCACTCAACACAAAAACACAGGATAACCCCAAACCACCACGTGTGCGGTAGGAAAATCTGACTTGACGTCAGTGTCCATATGAGGAGTGACGGCCGGGCCATATATGGTCGTTCCGCCTTTGACGTCGTTCCTTCTGTGGAAAACAAAGGCGGGGTATCGGAGACCACGCCCCTCTCCCAGCTGTTATCAATGAAACTCTCAATCTACAGTTGATTTTAACAGACCTGTCGGAGAATTCAACAAGTGCTCTCTTGATACATTTGTAGTAGATTTTAATATCATCACCAAAAGTAACTTACTTTTATCAATCTCTTCGAATTCCCACAGGAATTGTTGTTGCTTAGAACAAATAGTTTATTTTATTTTTTTAATCTTTTTAAACACATTATTTGCAGTCATGATTTCAAGCAGTGAGCCTTTGGAGATAAGTAGCAATGAGCTGGTTCACATCCTGAGGACCCCCATGGAGCAGTACACCTCTGCTGGCTGTGTGGTGCTCGACTGCAGACCCTTCCTCAATTTTTCCTTTGCGCACATTTGCGAGTCCCGAAACGTCAACTGGAACTCAATGATGCGCCGTAGATCCAAGAGCTCGGTGGTGGCTCTGGAGTGGCTCATACCGGACAAGGCGCTCCTGGGCCGGCTGCGGCGCGGGGACTTCTCCCCGGTGGTGGTGGTGGATGAGAGCAGCCGCTCCGTGGCCGAGCTGAGGCCGGAGAGCGTGGCGCAGATGCTACTCACCGCCCTGCACAACGAGGTTAACACGCAGATCTGCTTCCTACAAGGTACACTTAACATCTGCTTTTACGCACCAACTAAATATTTTAGGCTACTGTTAAAATTGAGTTGTTGTACTTTTTGACTTGGAAACATGAGCTATATGGTGAACAATATATCTATAGTACAATATAGTCTAACAGTTTAAATATCCACAATCAAACCTTAAGGTTAAAAACTTGAGAATTTGTAATTTAAAAAAAAAGTTATTTATATACTTACACTTGTTTTTCTTGTTTACCAGAACATTTTTCTTGTTTCATGCATAACTGTTTTTAAGGATGACTTTAGTGATAGCTTGGAACTTGGCTAATACTATGTTATCTCCCTTTTAAGGTGGATTGGAGGGATTTTCGGAGGCCTATCCAGAGCTCTGTTACAGCTCAGCCTGCAGTCAGCTCTCTGCAGTGGAACCAGAGCCCATGGTGACGGGTCGGAGAACACCAGCATATGATCGGGTAAATTCAAAATAATCTTTTTGAGCTATTAGACAATAAATGTAAAGATTCAAGAGTTCGCATCAAAAATCTGTGTGGAAAAAAAGACCGCTTGATTATTCTTGAATTATAAACATTGACCCTTTTTTATGATTTTGTAAATTGTAGGATGGTCCGGTGGAGCTGCTGCCCTTCCTGTTTTTGGGCAGTGCCATCCACTCCTCCCGCAGAGAGACCCTTGCAGCAGCGGGCATCACTGCTGTGCTCAACGTTTCCTCCACATGCCCAAACTTCTATGAGGGGGATTTTCAGTATCTGCAGCTCATGGTGGAGGACAATCTGGCTGCTGACATCGGAGCCTGCTTCTCCACAGCCATCGCTTTCATCGGTGAGTTCATTATTACATTCAATATTTGCTTAATGTCAAGAAACAAAATGAGAAGACCCACCTGGCACACAATGAATTGGTCTCATGTTAGTTTAGTGAGTCACCTTTTTTAACATTGATTCAACATAAAATATCCCAAAAAATGAGCTTGTACACTGAAATTCATTCTGTAGCCTAGTCTTATGGACCAACAGTGTAATCACCTGAATACAAAACAACTGGCTTAGGCTGCAGAAGACAGCTGTGTTTATGTTTTTATTTGACACCTTTATCAAGTTTAGTTAAGTTGAACACAGAGTTGAATTCATAAGAACTCACTTTATTCATAAGAACTCACTTTATTCATGGTGACTGCACTTAAATCTTTGGTCATTCAGTGTAAAGCTTTAATTGTGTTTCTGCATGTAATACATTTCCACTGATGTCAGAGAAACCAATGTGAAATGGAAAGCACTGTGCTCATCTGTCTTCCTCTTTCCGCCTACAGACTCGGTGAAGCAGAGTGGTGGTCGGGTGCTGGTGCACTGCCAGGCAGGTATTTCCCGCTCCGCCACCATCTGTCTGGCCTACCTCATGCACACGCAGCGCGTCAAGCTCGACGAGGCCTTCGACTTTGTGAAGCAACGCCGCCAGGTCATCTCCCCCAACCTGGCCTTCATGGGACAGCTGCTGCAGTTTGAAACTGACGTGCTGTGCCAGGGATGAAGACATTGACACATTTTATATGACTGTTATTTTTTTATGAGGAAAGCTACTTGTGCTGCTGGCATCACAAGGCTGGGGAAGCTGGACTTTTACTTTCAAGAGGAACTGAAAAACAGCAGATGGTAATATAAAGGTGTTATGAACAATTGTGATTCTGAGCCAGCAAGTTGGAGCAGCAATCGGGTGACTTCCCTGACATTGTTTATACTCAAGGGGATGGGGCCTGGTTGTTGAGTGTGTGTGTGTGTGTGTCTTGGTATTGTGTTTGACTTATGTGCCTGATCATTGTAAGGGCTGTCTTATTTTTATATTGCAGTCATTCCTTCACATTTACAACCACTGTGACACTACTTAAGGCAATGCTGGAAGACTCAAGTTTATTTGTGAAAGTTATAGAAATGCAATAACTTCTGTTGGTTTGGTATCATTCTGTATCCTGAGATGGATTACACTCGGTGCATTCAAGCTGGAAGAAGATGTTTTTGTCATGTGAATCTTATTTTTAATTATTATTTCAGTATGTCTGACGGTGTTAGCATTATTACTGTCTTTTACTGCACTTTATCGTTTGGCTGATTCCTGCTGTTTTTTCCACTTAAATTAAAACATGTTGGAGAACAATGCGAGTCTGTATAATGTCCTTTCATGTGTGCTGTGACACACATTGCACATACTATATTCTAAAAAGAAATGGTCAATATCACCCACATTTCCACTGCATAAGTTCATAAGCTGACCTTGCTAAACCTGAAAGTTTTAAAACTGCTTTGCTGAGGCTTTCGGAGGATTATCTAAAGATAATGGGTTTAACAGTCTGAAGTCCTTTTGACCTCAACTTCCTCTTACATCAATTTCAAATCCATTTACTTCAGTTGCAACTTTGGACAACTTTAGCAACTTGATTCTACGTTCAAGACAGCAGTAAACCACAAAGGGCAATTGTAGTCAGGAAGTGTGAAAGGTAAACTAAATGACAACTTGCAGACTTATCCCATAAGCACTCCAACACATTTTTACACACTGCATGTCATTTGACCAAATGCTGTTTCTTCATTTTTCCAGATTTCAGCTTAACTATAATGACATCCTGATATGTGCTAAACATGTCCGTCGACCATCAGTCACAAGACTACCAAACAGTTAATCTACTTTATTGTATTATCACGGGTACAGGTCTACTTTCCATGCCTTGCCACAAGGTCCACAGCAAGTCACAATATTTGAGACATTGAATTGTGTGTGTTCAATTCAAGTGTTCTATAATCAACAGTATAAACATGCAGTGAACTCTGACTTAAAAGTAGTGCATAAAACTCCAGCTGCCTCATCCTCCAAGTATGCCACCAACATTCTTGTCATAAGCAAAGCTTAATAATCCTCTTCCTTTAATCTACAAGTATGTATTTCCCAAATTGTATCCAAGCGTAACTTTTGTACTTGACTTTTTCCTTCCATTATCCGGAGCTTCTAGACACAGAGCAGAGAAATAACGTCAGAGTTTATCAAAGTTTTGACACTGTTTAAAGATTTAAATAGATAATTCAAGCGTTGCCTTAAGCTGCGTGATTGTTTTTGTAAGGACTGGGGCTGAGATTCCATGTATACGATATGAATACCTTCACTGTAATCCATGCACTATTCATCTACCTGCTGTGAGCTGTCATTAATGTCCACTTTATTTTTCATTCGCTTTCCATTAAAATCCTCATGATTAAAACAGGGGAAAAGAAGGATAGGGAGAAGATAAATAAATATTAGGTCAGTTTTAGATATAATTACTGAAGCACAGTAAAGAGGTATTTGTACATTGCTTGAGTAGATCCATTGATATATACATAATTGTTTATACCTTAAGTAGAATTTAGAATTCAGAACTTTTAAGGTAATTTTACTTGCATATTTGCTTACCATTTAGCAAAGAATCTGAGTATTTCTTCCACCATTTCAAGTGGTTTTACAGCCAGATCAATTAGTTGATTGTAGAAAATGTGTTGGCAACAGGGGCCAATTTTCTGCATTGGTACCATAACTAATTCTTCTGATAAGACTTACTTAATTTTAGTAACAATTTCAATACAGCACATTGACATATTGTGAGGAAGCGCACACACTCTCTCACTAACATTTTGGCTTAACTATGTGTTTGTTAAGAAAGGTAGTACATGTTTCTTCAGAGTTTATTTTAGTTAAAGTTATAAAAACAGTTTACATAGAAAAACTAATAAAATGCATCTAAATTAATTTGTCAGTCTGTAAAACACACAATCACAAAGTAATCACCATTTCCCCTGTTCATCCATCTTGTGCCAGTGCTCAAAGGGGGAGCATGCCTCCAAAGTACTCCTTATATGTGCCGTATGAGTAGGCGGAGTCTTGGGCGCGATTGGTCAGGAAATGTGTGATTTTATGAGTGTCAATTAGGTTAAAAAATATCCGTTTTAAGCAGACCTTGTTGTTTTTGAAGGTACAATATTTATGTTGATGCAATTATGAATTTACTTAAGCCTTTAGGATTTTATTAAATGTAGACAACAGTGTTTAATTTTGTATTTAACCCTTCACTCCGCTTTCAGAACCATGACCTGATTGGCCAGGTTGGATTGGATTGGGAAGGCGGGCAGTCTCCTATAAATGTGGTTGGGAAGAGAGGGGAGGGGGGCATTGGTGTTTGTTCCTTGCAGGTGAACGCAGCACCAGGCATGCAGTTTTTGTTTCTGTGGAATAATGTGGAAGGCTAAGAATAAAACACCTGTTTATTTTTGCAAGAAAACCCTCTCTCCACGTATCGTTCTTTCACCTGCACCTCACATTGTAACACATATATTTTAAATAAGTGTGGTGTTAGTAGTTTTACTGACGTACGTATCTTTCTTCATAATTGAATGTACTTATTGTATGTTGCTTTGGATGAATGAAATGTAGTCTAATGTAAATGATCCAAATGCTTTATCCACCACTGATATATTATCATCCAGTCAAAGTTATATCAAGCATTGGACATTAGTTTGTAGTGAGACAGCGCTCTCTAGTGACAACCTTTGAAACCAGCAGAAATCTAAATGATTAAAAAGTATCCAGCAGATGACGCCAGCGGACTGTTTGTTATTCGAGGCAGCCTTTTATTATAGAGATAACACATTAAAGCTATACACATCTCTAACACACACAAACCCTTCCTATCTGAGAGGTTTCCTAATACATGATTGTCCATTAACACATTTAATTTAATTGACTTTTTGGTGCATCTGGCTTAATCATTTATTTATCACTGGAAGCAGACTGCTCCACCTCCTTTATTTGGATGTCTCTCTCCTCTCGTTTGTTGTCTTCACTTCCTCCTCAGTCAGTCAGGCTCCTTGATGAAAACAGACTCAAACCATTACTCACACTCTGCGTCCACATTAACCACTGTCAGGATAAATCATATAACATTAGGCTGTGGCTGTACCTCCCAAAGGTGTGTGTTTGTGTGCATTTGCCTGTGCTGCATGTACAAAAAGAAGAGAGTGGGAGATTAGAGATCTGCACAGATATCACACTTACATTATTTGTTGTTCACAGCTGGAGACTATGTCACTCAAACAAGAAATCCCAGTCGGGTAAAACTGCTAACAGACAATATAATATGAGCAATATCTGTGATACTGTTAGCTGGGGGATATCAATGAGGTGCTATAACACACAATTACTGGCCTACATGCAAACACAAAAGCAGCAATTGTAATCATTACAAATGCAGTGAGGACAATTATATTGTGACCCTCTGGGAGAGCTCCCTGTTATTGTCTACAGGTTACAAACACATTCTCACTTTAATGCTATAAATCTGAGGATCCTCACTGAAATAATGACTGTTAGTGAAAGGGGTTGCCAACAATATCAACGGATAGGTAATTAAATGACAACATTCTCTTTGTCTATAATAGAAAATAATAAGTACTTTCCTGAGTACTTTTACCTCTTTAGTCATCTAAAACCATACACTACTCAAACTGAGAAGAGAAAAATATATCCGAACAAAGTCATATACAAAGTTTGACAAGTGGGTTAAATTAGACATAACTTTTTTGTGAAGGGTCCAATGCCAAAAAGGTTGATAACTGCTGCCTGTGTCACCCCTTATCTTAAACACTCTTGCCTAACCCTGGCCAGTATCTTCACTTAACCTAAAATATAGTGCAATTTTACCCCTAAAATCAGGTCTTATTCCGTTGCTAGACAAACGGTTGCCACTTTCAAACTCCAAACTAAAGGTGCAAGAATACGCACGCATATTAAACAGGAGACAAATACAAGTCAATGACTTAAAAAAGGTCCTGACCTGCAGTTATTTGGCAACCATTTGGAAAACAGTCTTTAAAGACAATTTGACTTCACTTTTTTATTGTGTTAAATCCTATTGTACCAATAGACTTCAGGAGGTTTTGGAATGAAGAACGTTTTCTCAAAGAGTGGATGCTCCACAAACCAGGTGTAAAATCTTTACAGTGCAGCAAGATTTACTGATCCACTGTGAGTGATCCATAACGGTGGAGTTTCCTCCAGGAATACTAATTGTGTGTGTGTGTGTGTGTGTGTGTGTGTGTGTGTGTGTGTGTGTGTGTGTGTGTGTGTGTGTGTGTGTGTGTGTGTGTGCGCGCGCGCGCGCGTGCGTGCGTGCGTGCGTGCGTGCGTGTGTCAGTGTAAACGTTTATATACCACATGCTCTTACACAACAAGCACTTGAGAAGCGCTGTACTGTGCACTGAACGCTGTGTGCTGCTCAGTCTCTATAACCTTGGCTTCAGTGACACACCCCTCTCCCCCAGAATGCATTTCCAGCGTGTTACTAAGCACAATTCACCCATGGAAACAGAGACACTTGATTGGAGTGCACTCTCCCGCTAAAAGCTTTATTCTCTTTCCCTTTATATTTAGAATGTGTAGCGTGGAGTGGAAAATGTACAAAACATTATTGGCTGCTGGATCAGGTCACACAATCAGAGAGCATGGCTCCCAATTGTAATTCCATGGGTGGTGAGCTGGGTTTCTCTCTCATTACAGCAGCAACGTGTGGGGGCTGCACTACAAAACAAGCATACAAGACCTTTTACCCACACACCATTCATAAGATTGTGTGTGTGTGTGTGTGTGTGTGTGTGTGTGTGTGTGTGTGTGTGTGTGTGTGTGTGTGTGTGTGTGTGTGTGTTTGTTTGTTTGTGAGTTTATATCACAGGTATACACCCACCTACTTTTAAAAGCCACAGGATAAACTCTGCTACCCTTTCATTTAGGGCTCAGCCAGCATGACGTAGGTTTCACCTGATAATTGAACAATCGAGCACTTGATATCAGGTGGGCAACAAATGGTGAGGGGGCTGTGGATGCCTGTGCTTCCTGGGGGAGGGAGTGTGTCAGGGCGCATAATGCAGAGGGATTTAGATAGGGAAGTCAGTGATGATGTGAGCACAGAAAGTAAGTGCCTAACCCTCTGCCCTGCAGTTTGCACAATAAGCAGAGGTGGAAGGTAACTCAGTGCATTTACCCGTGAGTTGTGAGGGAGAGTAAGCTGAGCATGAGGAGACTTCCTCATTTCCTAGACCATATTTCATAAGTTAATAATTCACTTTTACAACAACAATATTTGATGGTTGCAACTAACAGTTTCTTCACTGCATATGCAAAATCTGCCCATCTTAAACAATAATAATGTAATAAGACCTTTTAAGGTGATATTTGTTTAAATGAGGGCTCTCACTTTCTTTTTTAAATCTTAAAAGTTTTTACAAATTTCTAACAACTAGGAATGAGCCCTTCTTTAAAGTGCTCTATCAATATGTAGGACATATGTGACCATGATAAAACACTCACAATACATCATGGCAGCAAGTACAGTATCTTACATTTGTTTGAAAAATATAGGTTTGACATGAACTACCTAAAAAAAAGTCTAAAAATCAGAACAGGCTTGTGACCAGGTTAGGTATCTAAAAGGTTAATATCAGTCCCTCAATCTCCAGCTGCTGCAGTGAAACATTTTATTGGCCCTAAATAACTGGAGCTGTTGGGTGGCACATGGAAACATGGTGGGAAAAAACTAAGGCTACAAATGCATTGATACAACATGCTATCTAAATTAAAAGCATTATGAAGCCAAATGTGCTGAGCCACATATTGAAGGAGCTGATGACGACTGAGCAGCTTCAATTAGTGCAGGAGTCCCTGCAGGAAACGTATGCTTCCTCTAGCTAGCATATGGCATAAATTCAGCTGTATCCCGTGGAGTTAATTGACCAAAGCAGTGGCACCCAACAAGCCATTTCTAATATAACTGCGGATATACATTTAATGTTAGATGGAGAGAGGGTGGGCTCCGGGGGGGGGGGGGGGGGGGGGGGGGGGGGGGTGGCACAGGGAGCGAGGAAGTAAGGGTCCCATGACGCCCACAGCTCCACAATGACATCACCAGGTCTAAAAAGAAGCGCAAGAGGGAGCTGGGAGGCACCCCACTTATTAGATTTCCTCCTGTTCACAAGTGAGGGTGCTGCTGCGCCTCTGTGAGGGAGCCTGTGATGTGCGCAGGAGGAGCGGCTGTATCTTCGCATCCTGATGAAGTTCTGAAAATACAAAGAACCACGGAAAGAGGAAACATCTCCTGAGACTCACACACAGAAGCTGCTCTTTGGGAATAGACTCACTGCTGAACAAACAACGCGTTTTGACTTCATATCTGGCTTCACGCGCAAAGCTGGAGAGACTGAGGTTAACTCTGTGCTTTCTCTTATTCGATTGACTCGAAACGCTGCCATCGCATGGAAACATTTGTATATTTTTATTAACAAATCCCTATAAATATTGCACTGTACATTTATTTCACTTTATCTAAACCTCTCCGTGATCGCCGTACAGATGAGACTCCTAATCAAACGCGCGTCTCCAAACGAGGACGCACGGAGATCGAACAGTGATTATTTTCTCTCGTCTGGTCCCTTGTATTCAGTGTCACTTCGTTATAAATGACACCAAATTACATTATTAAAAAAAAAACGATCTTAAAAACGGTAAAAGATTAAAGCATTAAACTTCGTGCGCTATAGAAGTTTTAGTTTTCGGGCTTTGTTTATACTTTGGAAAGGTTGGTGGTTGGTGAACAGCAGTCAGCGTCTCGAAAAATACCTCCGTTTTTGGGGGGGTTTTAAAACTGCTCGACATAGTGGCAAATCTCTTATTAATTGAAAGCAGTGGTCCGTGTCCTGACGCATTGCCCAGGACTGTTTTGTATGCTTAAAATGGACCTGGCTGAGCTGCCGTGGAGGATGCAAGGGAGCTATCGTTTGGACACTGCTCAGGGACAAAACGAGAGAAACTGAGGTAAATATGATATAAATGATACTTTTACTATAATCACAAATATCACAATAAATGTAACACGTATTTTACGCACAAACAATGTATGATGATATTTTAAAACAGTATTGAGAACCCTTAAAAGTGACATAGAATTTGAAAATACATTTTATTCAGTGGGCAAACATATGTTTTTGTCTACAAGGACTATTTAAAAGCTAATCCCAGCATGGCATTGGTTCCGGAGAACGGCTGCTCCATGGAGCTGAGCGGCTGGAACAGCAGCGCGAGCGGTGCCGGAGCCTCCGTGCCCTGCAACCAGAGCATCCTGAAGCTCGCCCCTTACTCCCCTGAAGCCACAGCGGTATTCGCCACCGCCATCACCCTAATGGTCGTCTTCACTATCGTGGGCAATATCATGGTCATCATCGCGGTGCTGACCAGCCGGTCCCTCCGAGGACCCCAGAATCTGTTCCTAGTGTCACTGGCTGCTGCAGACATTTTAGTGGCCACACTTATCATTCCCTTTTCTCTGGCCAATGAACTGCTTGGCTACTGGTACTTCAAGTCACTGTGGTGTGAGATCTACCTGGCACTGGATGTGTTGTTCTGCACCTCCTCCATTGTTCACCTGTGTGCCATCTCCCTGGACCGCTATCTGTCCATCTCCAGGGTCACATACGGGCGCCAGCGCACCCCCAAGCGCATCAAAGCCGCTATTGTGGTGGTGTGGCTCATCGCTGCCATCATCTCCTTTCCTCCCCTGCTGTCACTGAACAAACGTGAGGCAGGAGAGGAGGGGACTGAGAGAGGACCCCAGTGCCAGCTGAATGATGAGAGCTGGTACATCCTTTACTCAACCATTGGCTCCTTCTTTGCTCCATGCCTCATCATGATCCTGGTCTATGTAAGAATCTACCAAATTGCCAAACAGAGAACACGTTGCCCCCCGGGAGAGCCCAGGAAGGATGGGGTCGGCTGTGCCACACCAGGTCAGACTCCACGACATATCCAGGCCAACGGGAAGGATGATGAGGAAAGCACACCGCCTTCATCCAACAAAACCTCTCGTGCCAGACCCCCCACCCTCGCCATCACCCCGTCCCCCTCCTCAGGAGACACTCAAACCCCCCTAAATCCCACTTCCAATAATCTCCTGCAACCTCCATCCCCTTCTCTAGCCATGACCCCTGTCACAACCTCCCTTGAGACCTCGCCTCTTGGCCCCTTAACTCCCCCCTCTGTGACCGCCCCTGCCAACACTAAAGAGAAGGGGAAGAAGGGCAAGAAGCAGGCAGGGAAAAAAGCTGACAATAACAATGGTGACAGCTCGAGCACAGAGAGCGACATGGAGCACAGCCATGGAGGAGGCCGAGGCAGCGCCAGCATGCCAGGGTCCCCTGCAGGAGGGGGGGTCCACTCCCCGGCCTCAGTCAAGCGCTACCGGGAAATGATGGCAACTTCAAAGGGGGCTCGGCTGGTGCCGGGGAGGAAGTCAAAGACAGAGAACAACCCTGGAGCAGCGAGGCGTAAAGCCATGGTCAACAGAGAGAAACGCTTCACCTTTGTTTTGGCGGTGGTCATAGGTGTCTTTGTGGTGTGCTGGTTCCCCTTCTTCTTCTCCTATTCTCTGGTGGCAGTTTGCCCAGAGACGTGTGCCATCCCTGATCCACTGTTCACATTTTTCTTCTGGATCGGTTACTGCAACTCCTCACTTAATCCAGTTATATATACCATTTTCAACAAAGACTTCAGAAAGGCCTTCAAAAAGATATTGTGCAGTGGCACCAAGGGTACGTTCTTTTAGCATACATGATGTATCAGCTGTACATGACCTAGACACAAAAAATGCTACTTCTGAGGCATCATAAATCAATCACTTACATGTTTTCAGAACACTCAAAGGGCTGTTCCCAGCATAGGAATCAGAACTGAGAGCCACTCTTTTACAGCCACAGTGTGTGCAAACAGGCAACTTGGACTGTGAAATCCCAGCTTGCAGCAGATACGCACAGATATTTCATGGTGTGGGATGAAAACAGGACATGGAACAGAGGCAGCACTAGATACTTAACTGCTTCGCACTTCAGTATTGCTGATAAGATTTTGATTAAAAAGTTTAATCTCCAGATCACATTGAATAATGGAGTACACTGGGACACAGGGTGCTGCAGAATAAGACTCTATAAAACTGTCAGAGGGAAGCATGAAACCCGTTGAGAATGAACTCCTGAATGAGAATATAGACAGTTTAATGTGTAATATATATTGTTTTGTCGTTATTAAATACTCCAGGACTAATGGAGAAAGGAAGCAAATATAAAGAAGGAAAAGTGACCTTTGAGTCCTGTGAGCCTCAGGCCATTTATTTATCAATACTGAGCACAAGGAGCACACAAGGTTAGTGGTGATTTCTTATGTCTGTAGTCTTAATTTGCCCAGCTGCAAGGCAAACATGTGTTCCTCGATTTTTATCTAAAGGCGCAACAAGAGAAGGTTTCTGAAGACTTCAAATGTGATAGCACAGACAATGACACCCTTTCAAACTGAACTTGTGGGTTTTCATGAGGAAAGCCTGCACGTCAGACACCTAGCTGCTGGCTTGGTGTGAGTCATAATGGACACTCAGGTTGTTAGTAATGACACTCTTGGCTTTCCCCTTTCATGATGTGCAGAACAAGATAAAGTGTAGGGGATTTTTCAAGAAAAACATGTGTATGTTATTGAGATGTAAAAGTAGGGCAGTATGACCCTCCTCATCCTCTTTGCTTGTTGTTTCCTGCTTTTCATCTTGATCTAGGCTATCACAACAATAGACTGGATCAAGCAATTCTTCTAATGAACACAATGAGATACAATCAAACTGCTTTTAGCCTCTTGAAAGTGCTTCTGACGTTTTTCCTAGTATCTAACTGGAGGTGCCTCTGGAGAAGACATATAGGAATTCGATTCCTATTATTCAACATTACTTTAGAAAAACCTGATTAAGCAGGGAGACATTTACATTCACTGTAAAGGACATATAATGCAATTATGTATGTGTAATGTAACCACTAATCACGCCTACATGGTTTATTCTGAGAACCATTTGGCTGAGTCACTCTTTACAAACGCCTCTGGCACATCAGCTGCAGTGGACCTCTACATGGCACATTTGGGTTTATAGCTGAGAGGAAAGAGCATGAATAGTGCATTTATTTGTTCTCACCATGGGACTGAGGCTCTGTCAGCTTTCATGATCAAATATAAATAAATAAAAATGTATCTGTGACTGTGAACAACACAGGCTTATTGACTCAATGGGACAAGGGCTGTCAGCAGCAACACTTCAATTTACTGATTGTCTAATACTGCTGACCTGTATGAGTGTGTGTGTGCATGTGTGTGTATGCGTGTTAATTTTCCTTTTTCTTTCTGTAGAGAGTGACAGTGCCTCTCCTGGCTGCTACTACTGTAATATTAGTAAAAATAGAGACCAGATGTCCTGGTGACGCCATCACTTTGTGAATGTTTCTACTTGATTGACAGATCAGTACTTAGCCATGTTGAGAAAGTCTTATCAAACTGAAAGTCAGTGTTTATCAGTGATATTGAGTACATGGCTGTTAGTGATCACTCCCAAGGGACCAAAGAGCCTTATAGGTCACCAGCCTGACTCTGTGATATCCGGCTCTGTGTTGCTTTAAAAAAGTATTCCTTTCTATTTAGTGTGTGTGTGATGGGACACAAAGATTGAAGAAACTGTATAATTTATTTCAGAGTATTTTGTGTTTTCTGTCTGTTACCTATTTATTGTTCTGTTACTGTGCTTTTATTCTGAATGTCAAGTGAAACTGCTATCAAAGAGCAAGAACACTGTACAGATTTGTAATATCACGAAAAAGAACTAAATTGATTCATGCCTTTGAGCTCTTGCTTTGTGGGGATTGAGCTATATTTGAGCTTGGGTTGTATGTATTTGTGTTGAATTGAAGGAAGTTGAACTTCGAGTTATGTGCATAATGCAGAATCTACAATGCAATGTTTGTCTTTGTTTCATGTGGTGATAGTAAAATGTTAAATCAAAGATACAAGCACACTCATGAATGTACAATTAATCATGCATACTGCAGCAGGAAAATCTCTTTTAAAAATATTCATCAAAAAGTGCTTGAATATGAAAATAACATTAGCAACCGTAGACATTTTCAGTTTGATGATTTGCAGAATGTGTGCAGGACATTAATGCTACAATCAATAACACACACAGCTGCTTGGAGGTCCAAATATCTGATAAAACAAAATGGAGGAAAGTGAGAGCTCCATGCACTTATACAACTGTTCCCTGTCTTCATCTGAAACGCTTAGTTTCTCTCCAGAAATACGGCAACTATAGCAACCCTTTTGTAACAAAAATAGGCACAGAAGCCATGAATTCATGGCCGCTTCGAATAAATATGAGTTGCAATGCTGCTCAAACCTTCCAACCATGGCTTTATGTGGTGAAACTTCTGCTTTGTTTGATTTTGAAAAGTATGAATTATTGCTTAAAGGTGACAGATGCAGTAATCTGCCTCATGATCACCATCCCTCCCCTGAAACCGCCTGTATTGTCTCTTATTGCGTTTGGATCAAATAACATGGTCTGAGCTTTACAATCTTCTATCCCCCATCTGTCATCATCCCTCTCCAGTTTGGAAATAAAGCTACTTGAAAAAGCACGAGTAATTTCCTGGTTTGTTTATTTCATATACCTTCACATGATACAACCCCAGGGATGAGGGTTTGATTTCAGGAACACAATTACTGATTAGTTGTTTCATAATGGGAGTTTTCACCGAATGCTTTTTTCTTGCATTCATGTTGAACTGAGAAGCAATTCCCAGCCATGATGAAAAAACCCTGAACAGCAACATAAGTTCAGGAAGTAGTGCTTAACATTTTGGGCTGATGGCAGTTCAAGATGTCATTGGAAAATCTCCTGTCTCAGTGGGACATGAGAAGTAGGCTGCAGCAGTGATGTAGCTCTCTGCCAACAAACACAGAGAAAGTCTTTAAGGACTTGGAGCATGTTGCCAAAAATCACATATGCACGCACACACCAACACACACACACACACACACACACACACACACACACACACATTACAGTATTTGTGTCATTATGCACCAAGTGTCACATACTGTATTCAAGTCATGAAACAGGCTCGACACACACATACTCACACACAGTTGTAGTGACAGCTTGTTATATTTGAGGTCAGCAAGCTTACGGTGAATTGTAATTGATTTATGCTGATGGGCAGTTTGGGGATTTCTAAGCACTGAATCAAGCCTGGCTGGCCTGCTTTTCCTTCACCCACATATATTTCCACTCAATGAAGAGACCCACAACTAAAGTTATGCGTTACCGTAACCTCCACACAGTTTCATTTCCATATTCATGGCTGTTCTGTGGTTTGAAGTGCACGAGGAGGTGAACAGATAACTTATCGTAGCCGAGCATAGAGAGCCGTGATGTGTATGTTTACAGTGTTGTATATCCAGACAGACGCAGTGTCCCTAAGCTGCTTATTCTCCAGCCTCAGCTGGAATATAAAGCAAGCCTGATTGGTGGCAGTGGACCCTCCGGAGAGTGGATGGAGAGCGTCCAACTTACATAAAAAACAGCAAATTCTCATTGGCCTCCTATTCCTACGTGATAGTAGCCTTGAGGATAAGGACAATGCTTATGCTAGCTCCTGTAGAAGGAGGGATGTTCATGCCAACACCTACCCACAAATAAAGAAACAAAGACAGATATATTCAATCTCATTTTGAAAATGATGATGGATATAGCATTCCATGGTATGAATATGTGTTTGCATGGCGTTCCAGTGCAGATTTTCCATTTTCAATCTTCTGCACGTTATAACGCCAGAAGGATTGCTTAACTCTGTAATGTGGCTGCTGAAAACATCCAAGAGACAGGATGAATTATGAGGGACGGAGCACACACAGGCTCTCTCACTATTGAAGGTGGAGGCATTCAAATGCAATTTTTAGGGGCACAGGCAATTATGATTAGAATCGCTGTAGGAGTCTGTGGCTGTTTAACAGAGTGGTATTCAATAGTGGAGTGTGTGTGGGTTGGTGTGTGTGTGTGTGTGTGTGTGTGTGTGTGTGTGTGTGGTGTGTGTGTGTGTGTGTGTGTGTGTGTGTGTGTGTGTGTGTGAGGACCAAATTAAGCCATTAACCTTGAAAGTGAGAAAATAAAGACTTAGTTAAAGGGGTTTTATTTGGCTTGTATTTGTCTGCTTTAGCCGTTTAGCTATTACCATGGCAAAACCTGCTTTTATTGGGGTCAGAAAAATACAACATTAACACAGATTTTCACACTGACAACACAATGTAAATATTACGTATCTACAGTCCTGACCACATCTTGGTTGGTTCATTTAAATGTATGCCTTGAACATATAACTTTGCTGCCTATGTAAATGTTATTGGATATTTATCCTATTTACTGTTGTATTTATTTCCGACCCACAGCAGTCATATTTCTTTTTTTTTTACTTTTATGTGAGAGATTTCACAATTTATTTCTCCCAGCTTTAAGTAATAATGTATGACACTGTGCACAGTGGCATGCAAGCAAATAGTATAATAGTTAAATCACTTCAGGTGCCCTTAAAGTGATAAATAAAGTTGTATTTACTTGAACTAAATATAGCAACAGTATATCACTATTGCCTCAATACAATCATTCTGCATCAAATCTAATACAGTATGTATTTGTTTGTATACAAAACATTAGATTGAAAAATCATCCATCAAAACATTGAACAACATCTTAATGAACATGAACACCGAAATCTGCCCAAAAATATTTCTAGAAGAAATGTTGTTTTACTAGTTTGTGTTATAAAGTAGGGCAGACTGTTCCAGTTCATCATTTTTCTTGCATCAGTGGTTGGTTAAGCTAATGTATTGTGTAAAGTTTTGAAGTTAGAGAATGTCCTCACAAGTATGGAAACACAGCAAATGTGGTTGTGTTAGTTTAAATAAACCAGATTGAAACACACAAAATGCAAGTTCCCTCATTGACAAACAACATGTGTCAAAAATAAAAGCCATGTTGGTTTCTAGGTGGAAGTGTGATGATTTTCATGAAAATATTCTTGTGTGGCTCACCATTGAATTAGGAATGAGCCTCATTTCAGCTTTCCCTGTGGACACAATTACTTTCATGTTTTTCACGGGTATAAACACTGATGCATTATTGTGCCTCCTGGTGTTGATAAAGAAAAGAATGAAGAGGCCAAATTGTCCCATTATTATCATGGGCAGCATCAGGCTCTGCTGTTATAACTCTATTAGTGCTATGTTTCCTAGAAAAATGGAAGCCTAGCCAGAACTATGATGAGAATCCAAATCAAGCTGAAACATCTGATTGAAAAGTATGTGCGCAGGCTGTGAAATGGAAATAAAAAATCTGCAACTGATGTGTTGACGGATCAACGCGCAATCAAATAGATTGCTGGTGCAGTTGTGTGTGACAAGTGAGGTTTCCGAATATGAAGAGGGGAGAAAGACTGTGTCTTTATTTAGCCTGGCCATCAAGTAAAGGTCACAAAGTTCCTTTTGACACACAGTTATGCACGTATTCACATACCCTCACACATGCGCAGACACAAACAAACACAAACAAACACAAACGAGGAAAAAACTGAAGCCCAAAAATAGAGCAACAGATGACTAACACTAAACTGCACAAACAGTGACACATTATGAGTGTCAGCAGCACACACACAGACACACATATACTGCATGTGTTCACAAATGCTGCTACTTGCGCGCACACATACACACACTCACCAATGCAGACAGCAACAAAACAAAAAGTAAAATAAGATTAAAGATGATTAACCCTAACCCTCCCTTTCATTATTAGCTCCAGCGTTAGATCCCTACTGTAAGATTCATTTATGGACTCACAGTAATCAGTGAAAAATCAATATTTTTTCAAACTTTTTACTCAAACCTATTTAGAGTGCACTGGGCGTGTATATGAGGATGTGGCTGACTATATGAGCAAGAGAAGGAGGAACTTAAATGAAAATGTTAAAAGAAGCATGTTTATCGGTCCTGGGAGAGGGGTCCCTTCCATCATTTTTCCCTATAATAGTTTTTGAGAGGGGTGGGGAATGCACATTTCAAAGCGAGGGTTGAAATTGACAGAGAGTGGTGTGTGCTGTTTTGGGCCACATAAATGAAACTGACTTGACTTTATTGGCACAGTTTCCATAACAAATAATCACAAGACACATTTTCTTCAATATAGTGGGTCATTAGGGTTCCCACATCTTTGACAAAATGCTACAACGATTTCCACTGATGTGTGCACTCTGGGTATCCTACATGTACCAGGTGATTGATGTATCATTTTATTTCAATGCAAATCTGAAAGTGTCGTTCAATTTACACCTAAATGAAGTTTGAAAATCACTTTTCCTGGATGGCTATGCGATATTCACAAAAAACACTTGCATTACTGTTTTACCTTCAATGTATGAACTCTATGTGAACTTTATACGTGTTTCCTTTTAGCAGTTTTGTGTTCCTGGCTAGTTCCTGGTTAGCACTTTTGGATTACTTTTAGCAATCAAAGGTGCTTTACAAATAACATTTATTATATTTATTAACAGTGATTGGAGTTTCAGGATCATCCCAAACCAAATATTTATGTTTTTACCTTGCGTTTTTTGTGTGGGATTAAAAAACAAAATATAGCGTGTTATTTAGTGAGATATTAAAGTGAAGGTAGGCAGAATATTTTACCTTGAACGGAGTCAGACAAGCTTTTTCTGTCTTTATGTTAATCTAAGCTAACTGTCTCCTGGCTCTAGCTTTATATTTACCATACAAACATGAGAGAGGTATCCTAGCTGAAAAAGACAGTAAAAATGAATCATATCTTTAAACCAAATCTGATGGGAGATTATTTTCTTAGTTGAACAGAACAGATTGAAAACAAGTTGATTGTTGGTTTTTGCTCACATCAACAAGTAACAAATTAAACATAAAACCATTTTGTAAATGAGGGCGCTGACCTTAGTTTCCTGACATCATCCCACTGTTCCTCCTCCCTTTGAAGCTAACAGTGACTGATTTCCGTGGTTGGCCTCTCTTCATCAGTGTGGATGGAGGGCTCCATGTGACTAACAGGAGGAGAGCTTCCAGTTGTCAAGGAGTGAACTCAGAGGCATGAACCCAAACAACTCAGACTCAGACTCAGATGGTTGCAAAAATAAAGTTATTTACTGGGTTATTCACAGTAACAAAAACAGAGAACAAAAAATCAGTCTTTCGAGGAAAAAACGAAATACTTCCATATGGGTACGCTGGTATCTCGAGTCATGAGAAGAGACGAACTGGCACAGGATAGGTGGAGACTAAGACAATATATACACACAAGGTAAGGGGCACAGGTGGAAACGATCAGGGCGGGGTAAACAATCACAAACGCAGGAGACACATAGGGGCAGGGAGCACAGTGACCTGAAACAAGAGGGAGAATGATTATCAAAAATATAAACAAGGAGACACAAGACATGACAAAGCTAATTTAAAGAATATAATTTCACAATAATCTTTCGAGACATGACACCAGTAGAGCAAAGAGAAAGAGGCATTTATTTCTTATCACATTCTCAACATTCAAACCTTGTTT